GGGGAGGAGCAGACTGACAGGAAGGGCAGGATGACAGGGGAAGGGCAGGATGACAGGGGTAAGGCAGGATGACAGGGGAGAAGGATTCCTGGGCAGCACTGTGGTGAACTGTGAGCTGTGGGCCTGGCTCAGAAATCTAAGACAGCCATATATTCTGATAACTCTGGCCGGCATCTACCACCAGCCACCTCTGCGCTCAGGACATCAGTATTGCTCCTCACCCCAGCGCAGGTAGGGGAGAGGTGGACAAACCAAGGTGCTGAGCTGAGATGACTGGCACCTCCCTCTCCCCACCCCTCCTGGCTACAGCTCTAGATGGAGTACAGAAGAAGAGGCCTGATGCATTGCTGGGCCGATACGGTGAGCACGCTACCTTGTGGAAGAAGGAATATTTGTTTGCCCCCTCTCCAGCCCTGTCCACCAGTCACGACTCTTCCCTGGGCCCCCCATTGCTACAGCACTGCAGTTGGCCCAGGGCTTCCATTTCCGGTCACTGATACTCACCCTCAGTCCTCCTGTCTGTTCTCTGTAGGTGCATCCTACCTTTCCTGCTCCTACTAACGGGAGGCCTTGCCATGGTGAAAATGATTGTTTTCTTCTCCGAGAATGGTCCCCATGAACAGAAGGGTTAGGTCTGAGAGGTGTGACCCTGTCCCTTGACCACAGCTAGTCCGTGGGGATAACCATCTACTTTAGACTCCTTCATCCAGTTCTTGTTGAGGATTTGTAACTTGCATCAGAGCCCCAGAGATGGAAGTTGTGATGGAGTGGACCCTAGACATACCAGGGCAGTGGTGAAAATGTCTGGCCAGGAACGCCTGCTGCTGCAGCCTGGACCTCCTGGGTGGTGCAGGGTCCTGCGCCCACGGTGACAAGACATGGGGGTGTGCTGGGAGGAGGGGGTGGATACTGAAAGAGGAATGTTGGTTCTTCAGGTTTGAATGGTTGCTTCTGATGGTGCTGAGAAACTTGAATTTCAAAATTATTGTCTAGACAAAATAGTCTTGGTCAGAGCTATTTTGTGAAGCTTCTGAATGAAGCTTTCATTGCCTATGGGCAAAAGATGAGATGATGAAAAGCTGGTACAAAACTGAGCTGGTGTGGCTCAGTGGATTGAGCATTGTCCCATGGACTGAGAGGTCCTGATTCCATTCCCAGTCAGGGCGCATGCCTAGGTTGTAGGCTGGGTCCCCCATAGGGGGCATGCAGGAGCGGCCGATTGATGTTTCTCACATCGATGTTTCTCTCTCTCTCCCTCTAAAAAATCAATAAAAACAGCCCACCCGGTGTGGCTCAGTGGTTGAGCATTGACCCATGCACCAAGAGGTCGCTGGTTCGATTCCTGGTCAGGGCACATGCCCAAAGTGTGGGCCAAATCCCCAGTACGGGTCATGCAGGAGGCGGCCAATTGATATTCTCTCTCATCAGTGTTTCTTTCTATCATTCTCTCCCTCTCCCTCTCCCTTCCTCTCTCTCTAAAATCAATAAAGAAAAAAACACTTTAAAAAATCAATAAAAACATATTTAACAAAAAACCCAAAAATCTGGTATTGTGGATTTCCAAAGGAGATCGTAAGTTGGCGTTCCAGCCCCAGTAGATTTCTTTGATGAAGATCAAAGTGGCAGCTCTGGTCAGTTTGGCTCAGCGGTTAGAGCATCGGCCTGTGGACCAGAGAGTCCCAGGTTCAGTTCCCAGTAGGGGCACGTACCAAAAAAAAAAAAAAAAAAATCAAAGTGGCAGATTACATTTCCAAAGATGGCTGCAATGATTCCTTCTGATCCATAGGCTCCTTTGCAATGTCACCTTGCCACTCAAAAGAGGTGGTGTGTATCTCTCCTCCCTTTGAATCGGGGCTGCCTCTGGGACCATTTCGACCAATAGAATGAAGCAGAAGTGACATTCTGAGACTTCGTAGTCCGGGTATTAAAGTACATCTGGCATCTCCCATTTTTGTGTTTTGGAAGCCAACCTCCATGTAAGAAGTGCAGTTACTATGATTCCACCGTCTGTGACTTAACCGAAGCTACCTCCGTGGAGAGGTCAGGTGGGAGACGGGCGCCTGGCCAGCCCCCCGCTGTTCCGGCAAACCAGCCGAGGAGCTGGATCTGGGAGTTAGCACGTCATCCTGGACATTCCAGCCCCAGCAGACAAAGGAGCCTGGACTTGCTGAGGAGCGTGGTTTCGGGTACTCTGTTGCCCTGGTGGCCTTCAATGAACCTCACCCCCCAACATTCGTGATCATGCATAGTCCTCTTCCCTTGAATCTGGGCTAGACATCCTTTGCCAATAGGATATGGAAGGCATTGTGCCAGCACTGGGCCTAAGTGTGGCAGCTTCCCCTTTGCATTTTTAGGAGATTTGAGCTGCCATATAAGGGCTCAGCGACCTTGGTAGAGAAGCCACAAAAAGAGGCCAGGAAGGGAGGTCTTTTGAAAAGGTAGATGCCCTGAGACTGCAGAAAGAGAGAAAGAAGCTCAGACACCAGGTGCTCAGCTGAGCCCAGCCCCAGGTAACCTGCCCACTTAAGGCTGTGCACAAATGACCACTGGCAAGACCACAGAACCACCCAGCTGAGCTCAGCCCAGACTACACCATCTTGAGCGAATCAAATTGTTGTTGTTTTAAGCCACTAAATTGTAGAGGTTGGTCACACAGTGATAGATAACAAAGCAACCAGGTAAGAGTGGGACCCTAGCCCTGGCTGGTTTGGCTCAGTGGTTAGATCATCGGCCTGCAGTCCAGAGACCCGGGTTCGGTTCCCGCTAAGGGCACGTACCTCGGTTGCAGTTTGTCCCCGGCCGTGGTTGGTCGTGCGGGTGGCAGCCACTCGATGTGTCCCTTCACGTCGATGTTTCTCTCTCTCTCTCCCTTCCTCTCTCTCCTTCCCACTCTATCTGTACAAAAAATGGAAAAATATCCTCGGGTGAGGATAAAAAAACAAAAAACAAAAAAAAACAGGTCTCATGGTTTGGCTGGGTCTCTAGTGTCTGGTCCCATGCCCTGAGAAGGGCTGCCAGGTGACTCCTGCTCTGCAGCCTGTTCCAGAGGACCAACGTGGTGCCAACCTGCCTGGAGCAGGACCACCCCGGCCAATCCACAGACCAGTGAGCAGGAAACACATTTATTGTCAGAGCCACTGCGAACTGAGATTTGAGAGTTGCTGTTACTGTAAAAGCTGACTTTACTGTAAAAAGCCAACCAAATATCATCTAAATTCTTCCTTCACTGAAAACTGCCACTTCCTCATGTACCCTCCTTGCAGGCTAAATCTCCAAATCCTTCCTATAACCCACTCTCAGTGGAACGGTGGATTCTGACTCAAAATAAATGGGGGAGTGTTAAACATAATCAGAAAAGAGTTACACCATTGAATTGCAAGTTATGGAAATGTGTTCATTTTACTATCACATCTCTGGGGAAATGTTTTATGGGCTGGGAGTTTCGAGATGCTTGATCAAAGACTGAAGAACGCAACCTGTTCTCAGTTCATGGTCACAGTGATAGTGTATTCGGTATGCTAGCTAGGGGTTCTCAGGGACTGGACTGACAAATGTAAATCCTACCCAAGGCTAGGAGACAATTCAGTGGCACATTGGAGATGTCTGGCTCCTGAGTCTGATTCTTTTGTTGTTAATCCTCACTCGAGGATATTTTTCCATTGATTTTTAGATAGAGTGGAAGGGAGAGAGAGAGAGAAAAACATCGATGTGAGAGAGACACATTGATTGGTTGCCTCCCCCATAACCCCAACCAGGGATAGGGATTGAACCTGCAACCCAGGTACATGTCCTGGACCGAAAATCAAACCTGAGACCCTTTGGTTTTGGGGTTGACACTCTAACTGCTGAGCCAAACCAGCCAGGGCCTGAGTTTGATTCTTGTATCCACCTTGCTCCCAGGCCTCTCAAAAGAACTTGCATGATATACGGCACGGCCACGATTTCCAGCTCTGAGAACTCACTCTCCTGAACCAGATGCCTGGCCTCTCCCTATGTGGCCAAAGCAGTGTGCTGCTGCTCCGAGCTTCTCCAGGAGAGTAGCTGCTCTCTGGATGGATGGCCATCTTTGCACGACTTGGGAGCAGGCGCTCAGGCAGAGCGCACGGGGCAACCCTTTGGAACTCTACATGCCGCATGGGGGCTTGTAAAGTGGCACTCGCCCAGATGCCCATGATGGGGGCCACAGTTCCCTCTGCTTAGTACTACAATCTGCTAATGAAATTGCTTTGAGAAAACCGATGGCTCCACCTTGAATTCTCAGAAAGCTCCGAAAGCCCCCCTGTGGGTTGGCCTCCTCCTCCACCTGTCTGACCCCTGCAGGACTCCCAGGGCAGAGAGCAAGGCTTAGGTGCTCGGACCCCAGCATGGGCGCCAATCAATTGAAACTGAAAAATACAGAAAACCCAATTCACACAGAGATGGTTATCATTTTATATTTTTCTAAGAACCCCAGGGGAAAATCTTGTATATAAGGCTTGACATAAGAATTGAAAATAAAATAAGAGAAGGAACAGTAAACATACTGACAAATAGCAATTTTGAGTTATAATGGTAATTCTGTAGAATTTTATCTAGTTTTTTTTTATTTTTTTTTTATCCTCACCCGAGGACATTTTTCCATTTTTTGTTCAGATAGAGTGGGAGGGAGAGAGAGGAAGGGAGAGAGAGAGAGAAACATCGACATGAAGGGACACATCGAGTGGCTGCCACCCGCACGACCAACCAGGGCCGGGGACAAACTGCAACCAAAGTACGTGCCCTTAGCGGGAACCGAACCCGGGTCTCTCCGGACCGCAGGCCGACGCTCTAACCGCTGAGCCAAACTGGCCAGGGCGAATTTTATCTAGTTTTTATATTAACATTTAAATACGTTGTTCTAGGAATTGTCTAATAAAACTAGGGAAAACAGAGAAAATTAGGATAATCCTAAATTCACTATTCAGAGTTTCATTGATAAGTTGTCTGACTGGCACTGACGTTTGATAAGTGCTTTGTTCCTTCTAGTGAAATTTGGGTACTATATCCGATAGGTGGATATTACGTATTTGAAACATAAATGCTATAAAAATTAACCCCCCTAGCACCACGGCGGTTGCAACGGCAATAAGTGCATGTCCTGGAAATGGCAACGGTACTTCGTCGATGTAGATCTGCAACAGAAAATGCAAAGTCTTTAAGCTTTCTGAGTCCAATAACTCAAAACACTAAACTTTGTGTGATTCCCACATGGTGGGGACACTGTTAATCGTTTAGCAAAATTCTACCCAGACTTATTCAGCACCCGTAAAGCTTGGCAACAGTCTCTTGATAATTTGGTTAAGCAACAACTTGCTCACGATGGACAGGAAATGAGACTTCTCCTTGTTATACTACACCATTAGCCTCTCTCTCTGGTGGCAGAGGTAGGCAGGTGGGCACTCAGGTGGCAGGACAGCAGCCTGCATGCGGTTCCGAGGAAGGGCCCAGTGCTGCGGGAACACAGTTAGGGCAAGCTTAACTGCCTTGGGTAGTTGGGGAAGGCGATTCCTGAGCAGGAACTCGAATAATAAGGGTTCACAGAGGAGGAGGAGAAGGGGCAACCCTGGTAGAGGGAATAAGCATATGTTGTCAAGTTATCATCTCTTTACTAAGCCCCGATGTAAGTGCGGACATGGGAAAATGTCTCTGTTCCCAGCATCCAGCGGTCCTGACACCTGTCATGAGCCCTAACGGCCTCATTCCTGACAATGTCACCACCATTTTTCAGGATCCCGTTCCCAAGCCTATTCATCACACAGATTCTGCCGTTTTTCATCTCCAGTGTCTTTTGGACTGAGGCTTGTCATGTCATCTCCTCAGCCATCACCCCATTTGATACCTGTGTATTCACTGTACCTGAAATTCTTCAACTAAGTTACAAAAACTGACCCCCGGAACAACGGTCACTCTGAAGTGAAAAAGCTCAGAGCCCTGTGGAAAAAACATACCGGCTCATTAGCACCATTGACTTGTATGTTTCTTAAAAAAAAAAAAAAAAAGTTTTTATTGATTTTTTTAGAGACAGAGGATGGGAGAGAGAGAGAAAAATTGATGAGAGAGAGAAACATTGATCGGCTACCTCCTGCACGCCCCCTACTGGGGACCGAGCCCACAATCTGGGCACGTGCCCTGACCAGGAATCGAGCCAGGACCTCTCAGTCCATGGGACGATGCTCAAGCCTCTGAACCACACCAGCTGGGCAACTTGTATGTTCCTTTAAGTAAAAATATACACTGGGGCCTCTTTCCCCAGGGATGTTGCATTAAAAATGCCAATCCCCTGAAAGCTCTGGGCATATACTGTATTTTTCAAAATAAAAATGAAGGGAGGAGGACAAGAGTTTGAAACAGAGATTCGATAGCTGCTACTGTACTTGATATTTACAACGAAGAAACAGAAATATAAAACCCAACATGGCCTTGATGCATACGTCAGGCTAATCCACATGGTCTTGGTTTTGATGCCCGCTAACTTTTATCGGCTTTCTCAACAATTCCCTAGATTGTATCAGCTTCACGTGTTCTGACGGGCAGCTGGAACCAGAAGACGTGTCTGTATATACGCAGGTGAAGGATACTGAACTCATTTCCCCCTAACTTTTGGAAACCCTTTCTGCTCCACCTTAATAGATAATATATTGGTCTTGCCTATCAGCTCAAAAATCATTAAGTTGACGCTAAATTCAACTTTCAGATGCCTTTAGAACTAATAACACCGAAGGAAATGGAGGAAAAACAAACACTCTGCATATACTTTAAGGATTCTATTTCTACCATTCATGGATACCTGTACTTTAAACGAAAACGAATCTTAGTTTAGATATATACATTTAAGAAAAATTTTGTTGTAAATTTTTTAATTTGTTGATTTTTTTTTTTGAGAGAGAGAGAGAGAGAGAGAGAGAGAGAGAGAGAGATTGATTTGTTGTGCCACTTATTTATATGTCTATTGGCTGATCTTTGTATGTGCTCTAACCAGGGATCAAACCTACAACCTCGGCGTATTGGGATGACGCTCTAACCAACTGAGTCACCCCTCCAGTGCTAGACTTACACATTTTATCTCAACTTAGGACAGGAAAAACAAAAATGCTGCCAACTCACCATTATGCTTAAGTTGAGGCCTGAAGGATTATATACTGGAACATGAAGAATAGATTCTAAGTAATATTTCAGTTTTTTTACATTTTCTGGTACAGTGTGTTCTAAAAGTAAATGAAGTATATTTTAAGCACATGTATGCTATTTTCTCATTTTGCATAAAACTCGTTACATATGTTAAGGTACAACGAAAGATTCCACTCAATGACATGACTAAGCTATCCTATACTTTTAATTCTGCTTGATTTTGTGGAAGATCAATTTAGGGGAGATTAGGCCTTCTAGCTCACATTGCATCGTCTCAAGGACATCATTTAAAGGGACAAGAGCTCTGGCCACCATAATTCAGGTTGACTTTTCCTTCTAGCTCCATGCCCATGACCAGTCCTGACCTGCACGTACTTCATGTCTTTGACAATGAGACAATTTCGGGACCACCTTAGTGGTTGGTAAGTGACTTTAAATAAGGTGGCTGATGCCCGACTGGTGTGGCTCAGTGACTGACCGTCGACCCATGCACCAAGAGGTTGCTGGTTCAATTTCCAGTCAGGGCACATGCCCAGATTGTGGGCCCAGTCCCCAGTGTGGGGCATGCAGGAGGAGGCTACTCGATGTTCTCTCTCATCGACATTTCTCTCTCTCCCCCCCCCCTCTAAAATCTAAAGAAAAAAAAAATAAGGTGGCTGAAACGTTTCACAATAGGATCATTGAAACCTTTTCCCAAAAAAGTTATCAGTTACTCCTGCCTTTCTTATACTTCTTTCTAAAACCAGATGTGTAGTGTGGAGGGTAGGAATTGCAGGGGTATAATGGTACACAGGATCTAAAGAGAAAAAAAACCCTGATTGTAGCATTTGCCAATTCCCATGGTGTAAATAATCTCACCATGGCTAATTTCAAGCTACCAATGGTTTAACGACCGGTGTGCAAAATGCTCGAAGGTTTAAGAATCAGTACTCAAAAGCTGGCAACAGTGAGCTCCAGCATATCACAGAAAATGGGATGTTAGTTAAAGCAAAATATTTAGTAGTTTTCTGTACTAATTTTTTATTCCAAAAATTCATATGGTGGGTATGTTTGTAAGACTTACTGAATACCAGAAGTCTAGATAGTTGGTAACATTAATGACTGATCAAAATTTCATTTAATTCTATTTATTGATCTATCTATCTATTGATAATCTTAAAGTATTCACACATAAACAAACACAAAACATGCAATAAAAGACTTTATATTTGAGGTAAAATTGAATTGTGGAAAATTTTACTATTCTAATTTTTAAATATTCCTGCATCTTTTCAATTATTTTATCATAAATGTTTTTTTCTTTTAATCTTCACCAGAGGGTGTTTTTCTATTTATCTTCAGATAGAGTGGGAGGGAGAGAGAGGAAGAGGAAGGGAGAGAGAGAGAGAAATATCGATGTGAGAGGGACACATTGACTGGTTGCCTCCCGCAACCAGGACTTGGGAAGAACCGCAACCGAGGCACCTGCCCTTGGCCAGAATCAAACCCGCAACTCATTGATCTGCAGGCTGACGCTCTACTGCTGAGCCAAACCGGCCAGGGCTATCATAAATCTTTAAGAAATCTCCTCATGATTAGAAGATAAATCCAATAAATGATCTGGCAACAACTTTTGTAGCCTCCTGTGGAACAGTGCATAAGCAGTGAAGGGGACACTTAGGCCAACACGTAGCACAAATTCAATCAATCATTTTTGCTACTAATCTACAAATGAGCTTTCAATTTACAGTTCAAAATCCAGGTCACTGGTAGTGATGGTGAAATAAGTGGGAGATAATAGAAGTATAATGAACAGCACTGTGTCAACTGATTCAAAATCTTTTCTGAAGGACCTGTAGTTGTCTCTCATGCAGTTGTTATAAACCATGTATCTAGGTAATAACAACATCACTTATAAGATAAAATAATTATAGAATAAAAGCAAACCCTACTGAGTTCCCAGTTTTTCCTCCTATTCACTTCTATCACAGTAACCAGATATGGAGTTTCCACTGGCATGTGTCCGTCCTCGCTGCGAATTTCCAAAGAAATTGGATAGTGTGTAATTGGAAACTTAAAACGAGGAACCTAAAATACAAATTCCAAGAATGAATGTAAATTTGAAAAATTCAATACTAATTTGATTTCCTGGTAAAGAAAACATAGCTACATTCCCAAGGGTTTGGCTACTCTAAATGAAATGGGGTTCTTAGGATTTCTGACAACAAAAATCGGTCTTACAGCAGAATCAGTGTGAACTCCAAAAGTAATATACAAACATTGTGGTAACAAAATCCGTAACTTCCTATGGGCCTTTTTCACAGGGCTTGATTATAAGAACATGCACCCTTTTTTAGCCAACCCATATCCCACAAGGCACTGCGTGAGCTGGATCCTGCCCTGCTCCCTCGCACCTCTGTCCCTGCTGGTTATGCTCTTGCAGCCACACCCTTTAAACTCGGGCTCTAGAGTCAGAGTCCACATTACCTCCGTCACATGTGAACAATGTGATCTCTGGCACATTGCCTGGCTTTTCTGTGCCTCAAGTGAAATCATGGAGAAGGCTACAGCCGTGTTTAGAAAATAATAAGTGCTCAGGAGATATTATTGTAATCCAGCAAGGGGGTAGTTGCAGAGGAATGTAATAACAGCCCTCATAATTTATTGACTGTGACCTGCCCAATATTATCTTTCATGTAAAGATAAAATCACTTAATATGATGCCATGTTATATTACATGTAAAGATAAAATCACTTAAGATAATGCTATATATTATATTATAGGTAAAGAGAAAATCACTTAATCTAATGCTACATATAGTCCTATAAGGCATCCGAAGTAGATCTACTTGAAAGTTATACCAAGTGCGTACCTAACTTGGCTAATGTAAACACCAACATGAACTTGATACACCTTTGAATGCTTTGAGACTAACAGAAGGAAATATTTAACACAACTTGTCCTCTTCACCAACATATAAAACTGTCTTTTTTGTCACTACTGCCAGACTGAGCTTCTTGATAATAAGGATTTCAACTTCTATTATCCCAGAACCTGATAAACATTAGATACTAAATATATTTGAATGAATCAATATTCACCAGAGTGTAGTGGAGTGTTTGACAACTTACAAATTGTTTTCATATAGATGTGAGTAGGCATCTTTATAAGAAACAGCAAAATGGACAGGGCAGTGCAAGTATTATTCTATTTTGCAGATGATGTTAATTAACTTGTCTGGGAATATTTAAATCCGGACCTTTTTATCTCTGTATCATATTTAGTTCTATGTCATAATAAGACATTATTTCCATGTCTTGGTTTTCATATTTAACCAAAATGCACATTTCAAACTCTAGTTGACATGAAAGCATTCTGTCTTCAGGTAATTAAAATCATCTTACCTTTTCTCTGCAATCTGAGAAAGCAACAGCATACGAAAACTTCTGATCACTTGTGCAATTACAGTCCGCCCGAGTAGACGCATTAGCACACTGTTTGTATTTACCAGATTTCTGCAAATAGAATGAATAAAGGTTGATTTTTTGTTCCCTGTGGAAGGATTTCTGCAAACTAAATCTTCAATAAATATTTGTTTCCTGAATAAATAAAATCCCTGAGAAAGAAGGAAAAGGCCATTAATAACAAAGAAAAGTACAGTATTTCTGAATTTTGTCTGTTTGGTCATTTGAACCCAAGTATCACTCAGCTGCTTGCCAGTTAATAAACTGCGACAGCTATCCTAGTGGGTGTGAAGAGGTATCTCATGGCAGTTTTGATTTGTATGTCCCTAATAACTAATAATGTTGAGCAAAGTCACTGAGCCCTTCCCCATCTCTGCCCTGAGTGCCTGGTATTCCCTCATCCTCAATGCTCTTTGTCTCCCCTTTCCCCTGGTCTGTACTCCTCCCCTGTCTTCCCTTATTTGGTTAACCCCTACTCATCTTTTGGTCTGAATCCCTCCGACGAGGTTAGGCACCCCTGATCCACAGTCATGTTGTGCGTTCTGTGTCTGCCTCTATGACATGTCTATCTTAAACTTTAGGGTAAGGATCAACTGAGAGATTTAAAAATTCAGATTTCAGGACTATACCCATAATTTCTGATTCAGTGGCTATGAGGCGAGAAAGAGAAAGCTGCGTTGTAGAATGTCCCCAGGTAATTCTGGTTCAGGTTATGCAGGGCCATGCACTGGGTAACGCTATTTAGTTTGTATACGTTTCTGTTTCATGCCTATTCTCCCCCATCAGAATGAAGACCCATTAAGGTATCATGTTTATCATGTTCATTGCTGTGTCCTCAGAGAATGTCTGCACAGCGCCAGATAACACTGGAAATGCTGAAATGAACATTTGTTGAATTTCAAAAGATGCATTAAAAAAATCTTATCTACTTAGGTCTATATTAGATACATTTCCTATTCAACTCCCCAAAAAACCCTGAAAAAAAAAACCCCTATACATTTCCATGTAGATATAATAAAGTCATATTTCAATAGAGAAGGCTTGGCTCTAGTGACACGCCCAGGTTTATCTTTGTGAGAGACTGGAGCTGAAGAACTGAGTATTATAGCTGCTCATTTCCTGGAGCAGAGCTTCTTATCTTGAAATCCAAGATTCAACAAGAAGTCAGCCTCCTCATGTAGTGTGTATGTGTGTGTAACAAGACGCGTACAAATGTGTATTATTAGTTCAACATTTTTAAAGCATTCCCCATGCCTGGTACTGTACTTGGTGCTAAAGATACAGTAGAGAGCAAAATAGATTAAAAACAACAACAACACAGCAACAACACTGCCTTATGTAGCTAACCTTTTAATGAACTACAATAAATAAAATAAATGAGTACAATATGTAAAATTGAAATAAGTGCAACAAGGAAAAATAAGGCAGGGGAGGGGGTTTAGGGGTGGGGAAAAGTGAAGGTGGGAATTACAATTCTAAATACAGTGGGTAAGGAAGGTCTCACAATGAATGTGACATTTAAGCAAAAACTTAAGGACAGTGACAGAGTGTGCCATGTCATATTTGGCAGAAGAGCATTTTAAACAGACACATTTTTTTTTGAAACGGCCAAGGCCTAAGTTAGAAACATGACTGGCGCATCTGAAGAACAGTAAGGAGGCCATGTGGCTAGAGCAGACCGAGGACAATCAGGTCAGATGTAAGGCCAAGGCCACATCATGGAGGGCCTTGCAAACCATTGTAAGAACTGGGCTTTTACTCTGAATGAGATGAGAAGACAATGGAGAGTTTAACAGAAGAAACAATTTTATGTCACTGTGGGTGTCTGTGTGCATGTTCATGAGTGGATATGAGTGTCTGTTTGCACATGGGTATAGGCAGGTAGGAGCATTTTTCTGGAGGGAGAGTTCACAGGCATCTGTGAAGTTTCCTCAGGAAGCTACCCCATGATGTACTTTTGCTCTGTCTCTGCCTGGTTCACCCAGGGCTGCTGGCTCACTTTCTTTTTTTTTTTTTTATCCTCACCCGAGGACATTTTTCCATTTTTTTACTCAGATAGAGCGGGAAGGAGAGAGAGGAAGAGAGAGAAACATCGATGTGAAAGGGACACATCGAGTGGCTGCCACCCACACGACCCAACCAGGGCCGGGGACAAACTCCAGCCAAGGTACATGCCCTTAGCGGGAACCGAACCCGGGTCTCTGTGGACCGCAGGCCGATGCTCCAACCGCTGAGCCAAACCGGCCAGGGCTGCCGGCTCCTTTCTAGGCAGAACCTTGCTAGGAGTTTAAGTGTGCCTCGTTGGAGCGAATGCTCTTCTTTCTTTTTGGACACTAGTCTTTTCTCAGGGTGGAGATGTGAGATGGGTCTGGGGGCTCTTTTCATTTGAGAAAAGATGCTTTCACCCCATTTATCCCATTTGAAATCTAAATGAGAGCCAGGGAGAGGCCAAGGGTAAAGGGTCCATTTAGACTCCTTGATTTCAAAACCATATCTAGGAGTAGCACTAAAATGAGAGGGACTAAAGTAGTAGTAGGAGAAACGGGTGGCAGTAGTGGAAGTAATCACCATCATCATCATCATCACCACCACCTTTACCACCACTGTCATCACTACCATCATCACCATCATCTTCATCACTGACAAGGGCAGATGGAACACTGTACTAACTGCACCTTCTCATTTAATCCCTGTAGCTACATTCAACTGTAATTTTCCTCAATGATGTCTTTCTTTCTTTTTTTTTTAAAGAATATGTTTTTTTTTAAAGAATATGTTTTTTATAAAAGTGCCCTGCTGGTGTGGCTCACTGGTTGAGTGTCGACCCATGCACAAGAGCTTGCTGGTTTGATTCCCAGTCAGGGCACATGCCCAGGTTGTGGGCCTGATCCCCAGTGGGGGGCATGCGGGAGGTGACCAATCAACGTTCTCTCTCATCAATGTTTCTAGCTCTCCCTCTCGCTTCCTCTCTCTCTCAAATCAATAAAGAAAAAATATTTTTAAAAAATTAAAATAAAAAAAAAAACATATATTAAAAAAACAAAAGAACATGTTATTGCTTTGGCCAGTTTGGCTCAGCGGTTAGAGCATCGGCCTGCAGACCAGAGAGTCCCAGGTTTGGTTCCCACTAGGGACATGTACCAAAAAAAAGAACATGTTATCTATTTTAGAGAGAGAGGAAGGGAGAGGGAGAGAGAGAGAAACATCGATGATTGGCCGCCTCTTGCACACTCCCTACTGAGGATCCAGCCCACAACCCAGGCATGTACCTGACCGGGAATCAAACCGGTGACCTCTTGATGCATGAGCCACACCGGACAGGGATACTCAATGAATTCAAATAAATATTAGTTTAGTTGTAGAAAAATTATTTACCTTTGACTTGTGAAATAGATTTCTTGGTTTGGGTTTGCTGGGATCTGCATGATAAAAATTATCTGTAAGTGGAATGGCAAGTCCCATATTAGATGGAGGCCTGTAGTTTACCTTCAGGTGATTAAACAAAGAAAATGTATAATTAATTATTTACTATGTTTTCAATGTAAGTACCTTGACTTTCCAGAAAAGCATTCAAAGCAAATATTTTATTTTTAGCTCCAGGTATTAAAGTAAATTTCTATTCACCCTGCACTTCCAACGCAGTATTTTCTGGACTTTCAACAAGCTCAGTCCATGTTAATATAATTTGAACCTTGTAAATAAGTGAAAAACTTTTTAGTTCCTAAAATAGTGGCCATAGAGTCCATGTACAATAGTTTAAACACTTTATAAAAAGTCCTAGTGACATGTTTAGTAAATAATTCTTCAAGTTTGGTTATTTTCTTTTTTAGTCACAAAAATATAAGCAATAAGTTAGTTAGCAGAGTAATAATTTATATTTTAAAAAGAGTCACACGTTCTGACAAGGCAAAAATTAAAATTGTTACTATTTTGAAATGGGGACAGTAATACATATATTGGCTCAGGACAGGTCAGCAAAAAGGCAAATAACTTCATATATTGCGAAAGCCTAAGATTATGCCACCATTAACATACATACATGACAGTAATAATGATGAAACTAAATTACAAAAATTCATTATTTCAGAAAGTTTTTAGATTTTAGAAATAAATCATCACATCCTTGAAATGACATGAGGACTGAAAAATAACTGTAGTGTTTTGAGCATCTTAGGAAGGAAATGCTAAGACTGAATGGCTAGCCAATCACACAAAAGTAATATATCACTGGTACCCTTAAAACAATCTGCTTAGGTTTCTTTATTTTGTTTACCGGCAAAGTTTTGATCATATTAAAACCCTGACTGTCTTCGTGAACTCCACTGATCCAATCTTCCAAAGGGATAAATTCACTAGGAATGTGATGTATAGACTTGAGATAACTACAGCTGCTTTTCAATGTTGGCACAAATGTTGTAACAGAGCAGTCAGTCGATGCTCCCCAGACAATAAATGCCAGTGAAGTTGAACCCTGGAAATATCCAAGTAATGAAAGTTGTTTAAAAATTGTTACAGGATGCACTGTGTCCACTCAAAATTCATACACTGATGTCTTAACCCCTAGTATCTCAGAATGGGACTGTGTTTGGAGATAGGACCTTTAAAGAGGTAATTGAGTTAAAATGAGGTTAGTAGGGTAGGATGAGTGTCCTTATAACAAGAGGACATTTGAACACAGACACACAGAGAGTGAAGATGATGTGAAGACAGGGAAAAGGTGAGGAATAGGGCCTTAGAAAAACCAACCCTTAATCTTGGACTTCTAGCCTCTAGAGCTATGAGGAAATAAATTTCTCTTGTCTAAGCCACTCAGTCTCTGGTATTTTGTTATGGCAGCTCTAGCAAAATAACACAGTGACTAACCAACTAAAGAATATAGAAAAAGAAAAGGAACAGAAAGAGAAGGATCATAGAGAACAGAAATAGAGTGTTAAGTTTGACATAAAGATCTGTTTGAGAATAAATCATAACAGAAAACACATTCTTTTCCAGGAAGAAATACATTCCAATCTAATTAGATATGGACAACATTTGGCAATGAGCAAGAATCAGGAAGGACTTACTAAATAAATACCATAGTCACATCCAATTCACACTGATGGGGCTTTCCCTATTCACGGATGAGGACCTAGATATTTGCTTTGATTTTATGAATAAAATAACTTTGGTATCCATTTTGAAAAAATAGTTATTCACTTAGCAATCACTGTATTTCATAAAGATCATTTTTTAGTAGGAATTTATGCACAATACATGTATTTGAACCTGGAACAGTATTAAACATTCAACAAAATTTGATAAATTCTGTTTGAAATTTTAAACTATTTTTGGAATTGTAAGAATGTAGAAATACTAATAACTCTAGTGGTATAGTAAACTCCAGTAATGGTATTTTACTCCTATTCATATATTCCATAGCCATTAAAAATGTATGTATTTTTAGTGACTTTTTACCAAAACACATGGAACCAGAATCTAAGCAGGATTATGCTAGTAACAGAAAGTTGGGGGGCAGGGAGCACAAATTAAATAAGAGACTAGGAAGTGAACAGAAAAAGCCAGAATGTTGGATATTCTGTAACACAACTGACCCAGTTTCTAGAATTCAGTGGCAGGGGAAGAAAATGGAATCGTACTAAGAAAGGCATGTATCACAGGATCTCACTTATATGTGGAATCAAATGAACAAAATAAATTGACGAACAAAATTGATCTAGAGACATGGAAGCAGAGAACAGTTTGATGAATCTTAGAGGGAAGGGGGGTGAGGATGGGAAGAGATTGACCAAAGAACGTAGATGCTTATATGCATAACCAGTGGACCCAGACAATAGTGTGGGGAAGGCAAGAGAGGTGGGGAGACTGGTAGGGGGTCAATGAGGGAAGAAAGGGGGCATCTGTGATATTTTCAACAATAAAGATAAATAAAAATAAAAGAGATTTCAGAGATAAAATAATTACATACTAGGTGAATCTAGCTTGGATGCCAACTCAAACAAACCAACTATAAATTTTTATTTTAGAAAATTGGGGAAACTTAATTATAGACTGAGTTTTATAGGACTTACAGGTTTTTTTGTTTTAATCCTCACCTGAGGACATTTTTGCATTTTATCCTGAGATATAGAGTGGGAGGAAAGAGGGAGGAAGAGAGAGAGAGAGAAACATCGATGTGAAAGGGACACATCGAGTGGTTGCCACCCACACGACCCCAACCGGGGCCGGGGACAAACTGCAACCAAGCTACGTGTCCTTAGCGGGAACTGAACCCGGGCCTCTCTGGTCCCCGGGCCGACACTCTAACCACTGAGCCAAACCGGCCAGGCCTGGGACTTATAGGTTTTAAACAAAAAATTTAGTTTAAAAAGTTTAGGGCTAATAATGGCATTGTGATTATGTGAGAGATAATACACACACTTTTAGAGATGTATATTGAAGCACAGGGGAGTAAAATGACATGATGTTTACTATTTGTTTTAAAATGTCAGAATATAAACAAAAAATTAAGCAGGAATGATAAAACAAAAGTAACAAAATCTTGACTATTGTTTAATTTGAATGTAATAGAAACATGGAAATTCTACTTTTGTCTACATCTTAAAAGTTTTCATGATAAAAAAGCTTTAGAATATGTAGAAATAAATTTATTGACTCAAAAGGATTAAAACATAGTTAAGTGGAAGGAGCAATTAAAAAAATGTATATAAAATGCTCTCCTCGTTTTAGGGGAAAAAAAGGAAAATACTGTAAGTTCATAGTGATTGAGCATTTTCTATGTTTTAGCTGTTTTACTTGAATTATTCTCAAAACAACCTTACGAGGTAGGCATTATCATTATCATGTTCATTTTATACATAAGGAAACTTAACCACAGTAAAGTACCTTTCCCAAGTTCACACAGAAAGTACCAGGAATGAGATCTAACTCAAGTAGTCTTTTCCAGTGCTCACTCTTTTAACCCCAACCCTAACCCTTCTTTTTCTTAGCTTACATTCTAAATTTTCTATAATTAGATTTTTTTTTGTAATTAAAGGAAAATCTTACTTGAAGTACAGCATTGCTAGCTACAGAAATTTCCATTAGGTAACTATCAATATTATCAAAAGAGCCTTCAGCTTTAACGTCCAACAAAGCTGGGTTTCCGACAATCACTTTCAATAGTGGTTTCTCAAGTGTTCGAAAACCTGCAGAAACAAGGCTAATGGTTAATATGAAATCATAAAAATTTTAAACAATTTAATAATGATCGACTAGTCAGGATCCTAGAACATTTACAGACATTTGTTATAATGCCTGAGAATACAGGTAGGAATTTATATAGAGTTAACTTTAATAGTTATTAGAAAAATTTAACTCCGCAAATATTTTCTCCGAATTTCTCACAGAACGATAGCTCTCCTCCAGCCCTTATTCCAGCAGCCAGGTTCTCAAGTGCACACAAGGGTCATTTGGTGAGTACTGGTCACACTGAGTTCGATAGCTCATAGAGAAACTGAAGGACAGGCTCAATTTAAAGGGCTGTCAGTCAGTTGTTACCAAGAGAAACTTCTAGGCAATTAATACAATTGTCACTAGGGTAATTTCTGCCTGCAGGCCACCTGAACTATCTGAAAGAGAAATTAAGAAAGCAATCCCATTTCTAATAACATCAAAAAGAATAATATACCTAGGAATAAATTTAAAACAAGGAGGTGAAGACTGTTCATTAAAAACGAAAACATCAGTGAAAGACATTGAGGCAGACGCAGTAAGTGGAGAGATATCCCGCTGTGATAGTGTGATTTACAATAGGAAATGTATAGTCTTCTGTCCCATTTCTGGCACAGAGCTCCTAAAACCCTCGGAATTTTCTAAGTGATGAGAACGACAAAACTGCCTTTTGTTATGTTAATAAAGTGACTTTTGACTCACACCTAAAGATGGGAGCCACTTGCCTGGAGAACCAACCACCGAGATCAGAGGTTTGGAGGATTGTCACCCCCCACCCCAATCCCACTCCGTTCCCCATGCCTCACCCAGGATAGATCAATCTAATGGCCAAAGATTTAATCAATTATGCTTATGTAATCAAGCCTCCATGAAAATCCAAAAGGACAGGATTCCGAGAGTTTCCAGGTTGGTGACCACATGGAGGTGCTGAGAGAGTAGTGGGCCCGAGGAGGGCATGGAAACCACCCTTTCCCCATACTTTGACCCATGCGTCTATTCCATCTGGATGTTCACCTCATCCTTTATCATATCCTTTTACAATAAACGGGTAATCCAGTAAGTAAAATGTTTCTTTGAGTTCTGTGAGTTGCTCTAGCAGATTAATCAAATCCAAGGAGGAGGTCATGAGAACCTTTAACCTGAAGCCAGCCAGTCTGAAGCTCAGGTAACACTGCGGGCACGCAGTTGGTATCTTCAGTTGGGTGGGCAGTTTTGTGGGACTGAACCCTGGGGGGATCTAATGCTCTCTGGAACGATAGTGTCAGAACTGAGGTAAATTGTAGGAAAGCCAGCTGGTGTCTGGAGCATTGTTGGTGTGGGGAATACTTTCCTCACTGAAATTGGGTCTAAGAACACCTTTATGTATGTTTAAGGATTGCAAGAATTAATATGCTAAAAACGTCCATACTACTTAATGCAGTCTACAGATTCAATGCAATTCATATTAAAATTCCAATAGAGATTTTCACAGAATTTGGGAAAACAACCTTAAAATTCACTTGGAAGCACAAAAGACTCTGAATTTCTAGTAAGTACCCAGGGGAGGCTGATGTGACTGGTCCAGGGACCACACCTTGAGTGACATGGACTAGGTTTTTCTTCACAAGAAGGCAACTGAGTTAATTTGCTGATTACTGTTTGCTTCCATCAAACTCAATGAGTAAAACTGATTGCACCATTTAACAACAATTTGGTATATTTAAAGCTAAAATAATTAGAACGTGTCCAGCTGGTGTGGCTCAGTAGTTGAGCATCGACCCATGCAGCAAGAGGTCATCGGTTCGACTCCCAGTCAGAGCACATGCCCAGGTTGTGGGCCCAGTCCCCAGTGAGGAGCATGCAGGAGGTGGCCAATTGATGTTCTCCCTCATCGATGTTTCTATCTCTCTCTCCCTCTCACTAAAATCAATAAAGGAAAAAAAAAATAATTAGAACATTGTGAAATTTGGGTTGGAATATAAAGAGATAATAAGGAACAGAGTTTAAAAATCTAGAAATGGTAAAAACAATAGGTGAACTGTATAGTGAGATAAAGCTGTATTTTGAAGTCAGTGAAGAAGGAACACACTATTCAACAAGTGATGCTGGCACAATTAGCTAATCGCCTACAATTCACCGAAAGAAATCTAGATAAATTAAAGAAATGGAGAGTTAAAACCATAAAATTAAAACTCTAAAGTTACTTGAAGGAAATAATATGGATGATTATATTATAATCAATGAGAAAGAATTCTAAGGGTCTCAGAAGTTTTTCAGGATATTTAGTTCACAGTAAGATGGAAATTGAAATAGATGTCTTCCTTTTCCCCCCAAAGCCTATAGTTTGCATTTATATAAATTGTATTTGGTTCTGTTTTTCAATTAAGCCTCTTTTAAAAGTAGTGTGTTTTCCCTTTCATTATGGTTCATATATCTCCAAAATTCTATGTATGCTTATTTTTTAGCATCTTTCTGATTTTTCTATTATCTCAAGTTCTTAGAGATTAAAATTTTCTATTTTCTTTGCCTGTTGATTTCCCTTCTGCTGGCTCATTTCCTTGCATAGTTTTAAAATTCCTTTCCTCAATTCATGTTTAATGAAGATTGATTTTTTTCCATGGAACTCCATGTTACCTAGATTATAAAAATATTCCTACAAAGGGTTTTGTGCTAGCTTATGCTGCTTCTCTGTGATTATAATTATTTCTCAGCTTAAGATCCCTGCATCTGGTGGGTACTCTCTGGTGTTGCTCATTCTTGGAGTTTGGGATTTTTTACAGAATATTCTTTCGCCCCTCTTCGAGCCTCATAGAAATAATAATCTCCCTAGCTCCTTTTTTGGGTTGGTGGTCTGTAGAGATTTCCCAATCCCCTCTTTATGGTTTAATGGTCTCAGTTCCAATTTCCTAACAAAAAGTAGGAAGGACCAAATCCACATCTTCTGCCAAGGCCTGGGCGTTAAAATCCACCCCTCCGCCTAGATAGCCTCTACCTGAGCCTCATGTGTATCCTGCAGGAAACCACACGTCAGCTCATTTTTGGGCTTTGAGTTCCCTCTTCATTTCTGGTGACGGGCTTTTCTTCTCTTTCCCTCCCTTCCTCCCATCCTTCCCTCCTCTCTTTTTAGCTCAGTTAACACTAAATTTTTTATTTTTTTTCCCAGTATGCCAGTTCTCCATCATCGTTAATGTTTCCCTATTACTTTTGTAATACATAAATGCCTGGAAAAATGGGGAAAAGTATAGAATTTTATTTAAAAGCTGTTGTTTCACTTGAAATAATTGTAATACTCCAAGGTAATTAAAAGGTATTCTTTTCAGAGGAAAGCAAAAATCTAGACTAAAATCCCATGTAAGCTTGGGCTGCTAACAACCTCATTTATAAAATGAGGATTATAGTCTAGCCCTTTAGGGTTGTTATAAATATTAAAGTTAAAAAGTATATAAAAATAATTTAGTACAGAGCCTTGAACATAGTAAGTGCTCAATAATTAGAAGCTAATACTGTTTTGAGTAGGATGCCAGCCACTATGGACACTAAAGATAAAGGAAAATATCAAAGTGTATATTCCACATTCAAGGTAAACAAAAACATCTCCTTTTGATGTTTCCCAATAAAAATAAACTTACCTTTTGAACTAGGTATGACCTTAACTTTTAAAGCCTGAGATTTCCCCAGATCAATGTATTTCAGGACACTGAGGGATAGTGAATCATCATGCTGCTGAAACAAATAATCACATGGTTTTGCATATATCTCCCATGTTCGTCCATTCCTTTGTCCAAAGTTGTATAAGAACCAGGAACCTTTTACAAAAGTCTTATGCTTGGGTACTAGTCGAGGCATGGTAGCAATAGCTAAAGCATTCTTAGCATCTATAATGCTCGTGATCAGGAAGCTGCTGTAACCAGGAATCACCACAGTCTTCTCTACATCCGAATCTTGGAATGAGGAAACTACACCTGGAGCTAGAACGGGAATGATTTGATATAAAACAAAACAGCAAATGCTCTCTAAGCATATTGGTGGACATTACTGATGAAAACACTATTTGAGGTGTTTTTTTCCCCCCTTGGTATGTGCCCCTAGTGGGAACCAAACCCAGGACTCTCTTGTCCGCAGGCCGACGCTCCAACCGCTGAGCCAAACCAGCCAGGGCCACTGTTTGAGTTTTTAAACTATGGTCTTGACCTGAGTGGTTTGGCTCAGCAGTTAGAGTGTCAGCCTGTGAACCAAAGGGTCAAGGGTTTGATTTCTGGTCAAGGGCACGAACCTGGGTTGCAGGTTCATCTCCACCCCAGTGGGGTCATGCGGGAGGCAACCAATCTATGTGTCTCTTTTACATCGATGTTTCTCTCTCCCCCTCCCCCTCCCACTCTGTCTAGAACATCAATGGAAAAATATCTTCCCGTGAGGATTAACAAAACAAACAAACAAACAAACTATGATCTTAACCATAAAACACATTGACCAGATTTCAGGTTATAAATCAAATTATTTTATACATAGAGTATCACAAATATGTCAAGCACAAACCTGTACTTTACCCTTTACTATGAAATGGAGTTTATAAAACTTAACAACTGAAAATAAATAAACAAACATGTAGGCCTAAGTAATTATAAGCTGACTTCTTTATTATGAAACTGCCAGGAGCCTTAACCTAGAATCTTTATTGTGATTTTATAAGAGAAGGATGATGTAGCCAGTGTTTACCCAGTACCTAAAGGTCTTCCTGTTACATAGAAAGTGCTCAATAAATATTTGTTGAATGGATGAATACTTGATTGTTAAGAAGAACATGGAGATTTGGAAGACATGAGGCTCTAGGGTAGAAACATTAGGAATGGAAAGATTCCACAAAGCAGACAAAGAAGAAATGATTGAAGAAAAGCCATCAGAAAGAATATGAGAGAAGCCAAAAGAAGGCCATTTCAAGGAGAGGGAGGGCATCGTTATCAAATGTTTCTTCTTTTTGATTATCAAGGGTTTTTGATAGGTCATAAAACATCAACAATACTTGCTTTATTCTGAAAAAATTAGCAGAAGTAGTCAGACGAGAACCTCATAATTCCTTTCATTATGCACACATGCTCTAATTTCTCCCATTTTAGACATGCCAACCAAATCCTTTCCTACATTCTCCCAACTGCCACTAAGTCCTCTCCTCTCCTTTGTAATGAAATTCCCTGAGTTGCCTTTACTCATGGTCTTCAATGCCTCTTCTTTCATAAGTTCTAAAATTTAATCTAATTTGACTTTCTATATTATTCCACCCAACAATAGCTTTTGTCAGAGTTACCAATGACTTTCCCACAAGTCCACTAGCCGGTTTCTGTCCTCATCTTACCTGACCTATTGGTAGCATCTAAACGTCTTCACTCAGTTCTCCTCTGAGCAGACTTTCCAATCTCCTTCCCAATTCTTCCCCACCTCCTGGACCACTAATTGTTGGAACACTAGGGATTGGACCTCAGACCTTTTTCTTTCTGTATCAACAATCATTTTCCAGGTGATCTCACCTGGTCTGATAGCATTAACTAGCATATGTATGCTGACTGCTTAAATGTCTCTCTCCAGTCCAGATGTTTTTACTGAACACCAGACTTGTCTTTCCAAATATCCACCTTATTCCTCCACTTGGATGAGTAACAAGTATCTTAAATTCAATATGATCTCTCACCTGATTATTATAATAGCCTCCCGATTTCTCTGGTTTCCTTCTCTCCCTTTCTCTCTCACCTGCCCAGTCTATTCTCAACACAGCAGCCAAAGTGATCTTGTTAAAACATGAGTCCAAACATGTTCCTTCCTGCTCAAAACCCTCCAATGGCTTCCCATTTACTCAGAGTAAACTCCAAATTCTTTCAATAAATTGTACTAAATTTTGCTATGTATCTATCATATAATGCTTTGAAATAGAAATAGCCTACATAATAGTGATTCAAAATTATTTTATTAGGGAGGTCAAAATCTGCATGGACATTCTATTTTTTTTCATTTCTCCTGAATACTGTTGAATATAAAAATAGCATCACAGGAATAAAAGATAGATACTACTTTTTTTTTTTTTTTGGTACATGCCCCTAGCCGCTAGGGCCTAGCAGGAACCGAACCCGGGACTCTCTGGTCAACAGGCCGACACTCCAACCACTGAGCCAATCTGGCAGGGCGATAGGTACTACTTTTGATGTAAAATCAATGAAGTTATAGCTAGATCTTATTATATGAGAAATAAAAAAATTTCTCCAGAAACCTATATACATGTATACTTCTGTAGATTGTTAATTGGACTAAATTTTGAAATCTACTGGTTTGTAAGTGAGCATGAACAGTCTTTTTTTTTTTTTTTTAATCCTCATCTGAGGAAATTTTTCCATTTTTTGTTCAGATAGAGTGAGAGGAAGAGAGAGAGAGAGCGAGAGAAACATCGATGTGAAAGGGACACATCGAGTGGCTGCCACCCGCACGACCAACCAGGGCCAGGGACAAACTGCAACCGAGGTACATGCCCTTAGTGGGAAACGAACCCGGGTCTCTCTGGACCGCAGGCTGACGCTCCAACCGCTGAGCCAAATCAGCCAGGGCCGAACAGTTTTTTCAAAAGATAATTTTTCATTTTTACTTGCCATAAGAGCTTTATATTATTACACTTACTTGGCGTTTGAAGAGTAAGCATATAGAAATTTCCATCTGGATTAATGGAAAGGGCACTCGACAAACAAGGGCTCCCACTCTCATCTTCTATTCCAAAAAGTTCCATTATTTCTGTAATAGCTGCAGACAAAAATCCTTCAGGAGTGTTGTGTTGCAGTATCTTTTTTATGTGAGCTTTTCCCGTTTTCCTAGACAAACCAACACACATTAAGGACTTTCGATAAAACTGTGGCTTAAATGAGCAAGATTCTGAACATATAATTTAAAAACAAAATATACCACACAATGGCTAACAAATGAACACTTGATCAGTATTTCTTCAACTTCATTAGTTAATTAATAAAATGCCAGCTTCAGCAATGGGATACAATTTTCCTCTTAGCAATTAGCAATAATTTTAAATGACGGTTCAGGAGTGGTGAGAACTGAGTAGAGAAAGGCATTCACCTACTGCTGATGGGTTATAAATTGGTGCAAACTTCCCAGAAAGCAATTCTACATCATTCATTCAGAGTTATAGCCTTGTTTGTTTCCCCTCTGTTTCCATAAGCCTACTGATAAGGCTCCATCCTAAGGAAATAATTTGAAACACAACAGCGTGGGAAGCGGGGAATTTTTCTACATAGAGATGTATGTCCATCACAGAATTATGTTAAAAGTTAGAAATAAGAATTGCCAATAGAAAAATTAAGCAGATGTTAATATATGATCTACTTAGACATAATGCAACTATTAAAATGGCATTTGCAGAGTTGTTTTTTTTTTCTTATCCTCACCTGAGAACATTTTTGCATTTATCTTCAGATAGAGCAGGAGGGAGAGAGGGAGGAAGAGAGAGAGAAACACTGATGTGAGAGAGACACATCGACTGGTTGCCACCCACACGACCACAACCGAGGCTGGGGACAAACTGCAACCGAGGTACGTGCCCTTAGTGGGAACTGAACCCGGGACTTTCTGGTCCGCAGGCCGACGCTCTAACCACTGAGCCAAACCGGCCAGAGCTACTGAGTTTTTAATTACTTAGGGAAAATGGTCATATTACAATGTCTAAATAAAAGAAGGTGAAAACTGTTAAAATGCATATTAAAAGAACCAATCAGTAATTCAGCAAAGTGATTTCAATTTTCTTCTTCAAATTTATCTGTATTTTAAGAAATTTCTACAATAGGTATGTACTTTATAATCAAGAAAATCAATTTATTTTAAAAATGTTAACCTAGGACATCCACAAGCAAAAAATAATCTAGATACAGACTTTGCAGCCTTTACAAAAAATTAACTCAAAATGGATCATAAAATGCAAACTTATGAAACTCCCAGAAGATAACATAGGAGAAAATCTAGATGACCATGGGTATGGCGATGACTTTTTAGATATAACACCAAAGGCACACTCCATGAAAGAAAAAATTGATAAACTGTATTTTATAAAAATTAAAAACTTTTGCTCTGTGGAAGACACTGTTAAGAGAATTAGAAGGCAAGCCACAGACCATGAAAAAAATGTTTACAAGAGACATATGTTAGCCAAAATAAACTGTAGGGGAGGGAAAAAAGAAATCTCTTTTCCTGTACCCTCCTAGGTTCTATGCCTGGGACTCTGGAAATTAAATTGACAAAAGAAAACAGTTTCTTAACATGTGTGTTACATTTATACCCAGGAGAAACTTAATGATGAGTAACTCAAAGGAGTGATGAGAACTTGCAGCTTATCTAGTACCTTAATAAAGATGGTTGGACACCCACTGTCTTCCTTTCTATTTAACAAGGTCCTAGACACTGGAAAAGGAAAAAGGTACAATATGCTAAGAAATGTTAAGAAAGAAACAAAACAAATTATTTACAAGTGATGTGGTTATCTGCTTAGAAAAATGTCTACTCAGAAAACCCAAAGGAAAATAAAGAAAAAGTACTGGAGTTATTAAAAGAATTTAGCAAATTTGAAAAATTTAATATACAAAAGTCAATTACAAGACTTTTGCTTTTGCTTTAAATGCAGAAAGAAGCAACCCGACAAGAAAAAACGGACAAAGCACAAAGTCATCACTTTCCTTAAGCCCATAGAGAACTAAAGTCACAACATAACCGACTAACTTGAACTCCAGGGGAACGAGCCATTCCAAGGAGGGTCGGAACACTGGAAGAGTCTTACCTCCGTAAACACCTGGGAGGCAGCAACAGGGCTGGCCACAACACTAAAGGTAAAAATTGCTAAAAGTGTAAAGAACTGCCAAAGGCCAAGCATGTGCTGGCGCATGAGTCTGGAAATACCGAGGTACCTTTACGTGACATAAGTCAGAGAAACACAAATACTATATGATTTCACTTATATGTTAAATCTAAAGAGCAATATAAATGAACAAACAAAACAGAAACAGGCTCATAGATACAGAGAACAGACCGATGGTTGCTAGAGGGAGTCTGGGTGAAAAAGGTGAAGGGACTAAGAAGTGCAAAGTGGTAGTTAGAAAACAGTCACAGGGATATAAAGTACAGGCTAGGGAATATAGTCAGTAATATTAATAACTATGTATGGTGCTTACTAGACTTATGGGATGGATCACTTTATAAATTATATAAATATCTAACCACTATGTTGTACACATGAAACTAATATAAGATAATATTTAATGTCAACTGTAACTGAGACAAAAAAGGCACATTTATTTTATTTAAAAAATATTTTTATAGCTTTTTATAAAGATAGGAAGGAAGAGGGAGAGAGAGAGAGAGAAACATCAGTGTGAGAGCAGAACATCAATCGGCTGCCTCCTTAAACATGCCCTACCAGGGACGGAGCTGGCAACCTAGGCATGCACCCTGACTAGGAATCCAACAGGCGACCTTTTGGAGGTCACCCAACCAACTAAGCCACATCGGGCAGGGCAAGAGACACTTTTAAAAGGGGAGTCTGGCCTGGCCGGTGTGGCTCAGTGGTTGACCATCAACCCGTGCACCAAGAGGTCACTAGTTTATTTCTGGTCAGGGCACATGCCCAGGTTGTCGGCCCAATCCCCAATGGGGGGCATGCAGGAGGCAGCCAATCGATGTTCTCTCTCATCGATATCTCTCTCTCTCTCTTCTTCTCCCTTCCTCTCTTTCTGAAATCAATAAAGAATATATATATATATATATATATATATTAAAAGGAGAGTCTGTAGCCCTGGCCGATTTGGCTCAGCAGTGATTAGAGCATCAGCCCTCAGACCAAAGGGTTGTGGGTTTGATTCCAGTCAAGGGCATATAGCTGGGTTGCTGGTTCAATCCCTGGCCCCAGTTGGGGTCATGCAGGAGGCAACCAATCGATGTATATCTCTCTCACATTGATGGTTCTCTGTCTGTCTGCCCCCCCTTCCCCTTCCACTTTCTCTAAAAAAAAAATTAATTAATTTTAAAAAGGGAGGGAGTCTGTACTCACTTGCAAGCTCCTTCCTCTGGGCTCCCTGGAGGTTCTCAGAAAGATCAGTGCCAACTAAATGCCAGAGGGAGCTCCTGCTGTGGTGCAGGCGGCACTGGAATCCGAGGGCAGGGAGGAAACGGGGAGGAAGCATCACCCACTCTCTAAACCTTCTTTCATAGAAAGCAAAGGCCTCAAGGCACAGGAGCTTGAGCATTAAACACTGTAGCACAGAGGCCTCAAAAGAGGTGATCGATGGCTGGGATAGAGTGCCTAGAGGTGCTGGCACTGAAACCTGGTCCCTCTCGCTCCCTCGCCTCCTCCCCGAGCAAGCAAAAGCTGAAGCTATGCGAGAGTGGAAGCAAAGCCACTCAACCATGGGCAGAGGCAAAGAAGCATTACAGATGCGGGAAGGGTAGAATGATAACTTTCTACACCCGAAGGAGGGTCAGGACGCTGCCTTGGGCATAACGTTCTAAGAGAACGAAGCCGAGTCACCTTACTGCTAGGAGAAGTGCCCACCCAAGACCTAACCGCAGACGTAAGGCAGAATTTGGCTACAAGAGGTCATCACCCCCCACCCCCAATTCTTTATTCAGAGGCACATCGGCACCAAATTCCGTTTCAGAAGTTTCCGTATCATTTTCATAGAAAACAAAGTTGAAAACAAATAACACTGAAACTCAGCATGATACTCTATTTAACTGTAACTTTTTTCTTCTTTTTTAGAGGACTCAACAATATGTAAAAATGAACTTTGTTGTAGATTTACCTCATGCAAAGATCTTTATGTTATTTCTGCAAAGGAAAAAAATGGCTTTAAAAAACACATTTTCTGTTTTATACTATTATGGCAACCTGTGTACTGCAACACAGTCTATTTTGAGGGAAATTTATAATATTTTCTATACAAAAATCTTTACAAATTAGTCATTTCTATTAATAGTTGTGGTTTTTTCTTAATGAACTTGACACGCTGAATCTCACATTTAAATGCAAGAACAAAGGCCAAGAAAAACCAGGCGGGGTTGCTATTAGCGTGTCATATAGTTAAAGAAATGAAGTGTGATGTAGAGAAGACAAATGTGGCAATGAGTCCTGGCCAGTGTGGCTCCGTTGGTTGAGTGTCGTCCATGCACCAAAAGGTGGCCAGTTGCATTCCCAGTCAGGGCACATGCCCAGGTTGAGGGCTTGAACCCAGTGGGGGCATGCAGGAGGCAGCAGATTGATGTATCTCTCTCATATTGATGTCTCTTTCTCTCTCTCAAATCAATAAAAACATACTAAAAAGTATAGCAATGAAGTAGAAAGAGAGACCAGAAGCAGACCAATGCACATATGGAACTATGATATGTCACAGGGTGACACTGCAGATCAGTGGGGATCCACAGGACAATTGATTATATTGAGAAAGAAAGAGAGAGAGGAAGAGAGAAGGAAATCAAATTCCCACTTCACACAACACACATCAGTTCTAGATAAAAAATTTAAAAATAGCCCTGGCCAGTTGGGCTCACCGGTTAGAGCATCGGCCCGCGGACCAAAGAGTTCTGGGTTTGGTTCCCGCTAAGGGCACGTACCTTGGTTACAGTTTGTCCCAGCCCTGGTTGGGGTCATGTGGGTGGCAACTAGTTGATGTGTCTCTTGTACATCGATGTTTCTCTCTCTCTTCCTCTCTCTCCCTCCCGCTCTATCTGAAGATAAATGCAAAAATAATAAAAATAAATAGCAAAAGTTAAAAACTATTACCAGACAACATAGGAGAATAGTTAAATAAATTATGGTATGCATATATTAAAATTGAGTAATTTATGAAGCATATGAAAATTCTAAAAGCATAGTGAGGTATGAAAGAGGCAAATCACAGGAGAAAGTATACCTAGCTAAATAGTACATTTAGTAAAACTAGACAATACGTTTTGATACCTATGCATGTGTTAAAGCTGTAAAGTTAAAGCTGTTTGGCCTTGTGAAGTGTCAAGAAAAGACTCACTCTATTTGATCCAGAAAATGACTCAAAAAAGTAGGCTCAGAATTGAGACTCTAGAAACCAGTGTGCAATCTAAAGAAATGGGAGGCACACCAGTAACTACCTGGAATGGAGCACTTTTCCCAAATGAATGTTGCTGAATTTCTTGGTGTATGTACTTTCCTTAGGTTCGTTTGCGGGCACGTATGCATAAAAGATCATTTCATTTATGGTGATATACTGGGGGGCAAGTGCAGTCTCAAAGCCCATATCAGCAGCCTGGAGTTGGAAAAAAAAATTAAACTATTTTATACTTCAATTATGACAAAATGTAGATAACAGATTTGTTTTCACTCTACACCCAAACGATACTGTTTTGCTTAACCCCTAGGAGTAACATCGCAGCGTGTTCTGTTTGAATATCCACGTGTGCGCAGGAAGATGTATTTTTGTGTGGAGGAGAAGTACGTTTGCCTTTAAGAGTCCTGTGCCCTCTGTATAAGGCTGGAGCTGAAGGGTGTGTGGAGACCGGAGGAGGGATCGGAGGTGCAGATTGGAAACTCAGTTCTCATTCAGAGTTTGGTTTGGGAAAGGGCTGTGAAGCACCTCTCCTCCCGTGGATGCTGCTGCTCCCAGTCCCACGCACAGCTACCATCTGAGTCCCCAGCTCGGGTGGCACATGCCATTGTCACTTCCTCTGGCTCACAAGGCTTTCCCTGCAGTCAGCACCGGCACCTTTGGCCCAGATTTCTGACCTGTAGGGGCTCCTTTTTAACACCTCCCTCCCCCATCCTGATCCTGTGGCTTTGGGAACTTTTAGGGGGTGGGAGGAGAGGTGGAGACCAGCCCCCAAGGGGGTGCTGGAACCGACCTTGGTGCTGAGATGGAGGGAGTGGTGAACAGCGCAGGCTGGTGGAGCACAGCCGTCACGGAACGCCTCCCCAACCCTTCTGTTCTGTCTTTCCTGTCTCTTGAATTTGGGAACCCGTGGAGCAGGGGAGAGAGTGGGACCCAGATGCAAGGGGAATGGATGTGGGACTGAACAGATGGCGTGTAAGGACGCTGAAAAGGCTTTAGAATTCTGTGTGACATCCAGGCCTGGGGGTGCCAGGAATATGCCACGGAACGTGTGTGCGATCCAGTGGAAGGCAACATGGTGAGGACAAAAAGCACAGGCCCTGGCACCAGTGGCCTGGACAGATGCCTGGTTCCAGTCACTCACCAGTGGCAGATGTCATTTGGGGTGAATTAGTTAGTCTTGCTGTGCCCCACTTCCTCATCAGCAGAATGAGGATAAATAGTTGTTATTAACATGAAGAGCTCACAACAGTGCCCGGCACGCCACAGGGCCAAATCAAGGCCAGGGCTCGGTTTCATCCAGACAGGATGCAGGCACAGTTTGTTTGGGGGGAAGGAGGTGACGGTATTGAGTATGAGTTCTTTGAATTCAACGTGACTATAAAAACCTCTATTAGTGTTTGATTTTTATAATTTAAACTTTCATGTAAGAGAACTAAGACATTTTCTACAAATTGTGAACGTAGTAAAAAATTGAGGTAACTGCTTTTTTGGTTAGTTCTACCCTCCTGTTCAAATCAATGGATTTGTGTTTATGCACAGCCCACAGACACAGGGAGTCACTTGGTGGCATCTTATTGTCACAAGGAAGTGCCCACCTCACACTCTACCAATATCTCAGATAGGGAAATAAAACACTAACTTTTTTTTCCCTAATTTTAGCTATAATTTTTTATTTTTCAATCACAGTTGACATACAATATGAAGGTGTATTAGGTCCAGTGATTAGACATTATACAGCCTACGAAGTGATCACCCTGATAAATCTAGTACCCGCCTGCCACCATATATAATTATTACAATATTATTGACCATGTTTCCTGTGCTGTACTTTATATCCCATGACTGTAACTACCAATTTGTCCTTCTTAATCCCTTTACCTCTTTCACCCACCCCCCAGCCCCTCTCCCATCTGGCAACTGTCAGAATGTTCTCTGTATCTACGAGTCTGTTTCAGTTCTGCTTGTTCATTTATTTTGTCTTTTATCCACATTTAAGTGAAATCATATGGCACTTGCCTTCCTCTGTCTGACTTCTTTCACTTAGCACGATATCCTCTAGGTCCATTCACGTTGTTGCAGATTAAAACATAATCTTTTCAACTGCTTTTTGGGCCTGGTGGTTTGGAATGCTTTATTACATCCTTTATTCTGTTTCTTTTAGACAGATTTTATTAAGCCCCAGTCAAAAGGTCTGTTTGATTCTTTGCCAGTGTGTTGATGAGAGCTCATTTTCATGACTGTGTGCCCATGATGAGTTCGTAGGCGTATGTACCTTCACAAGGGGCACACTATACACTAAAATTATTAGAAAAATCTGTATGTAGTATCATCTGTGAAAAAGACAATACCCCCTTCCTATGTTAGCATTAGGAAAGGAAGAGGTGAGGGGCAGAGTTAATACAAAGAAGGGCAAGTCAGTGGGAAAAACAGCACTGTGTCTGTTCAAGGTCAATCTTAGGAGGTAGAGAATCCAACCCGCCATGAGCCTGGTTTGGCAGTAATGGATCTAGCTTAGACTCTATGGTGGTGTTTTGCTGTGAAGCTACCCAGGGTGGAGTTAAATCTATATAACCCTGAATGGAACTTGCAAGGTCTGGAAGATATTCTCTGGTATATGGAGGTTTTTCCTTTAGTTAAACACAGCAAAGTGCATTAATAAGAGTTTGTCCCAAAGAATATACTTCCCATTTCCCCATTCTGTACATGGAATGGGGCATTTATTCTTAAAACACGGGAAACCGCTTCAATACACTGTATCACTGACCTGTCCAAAAATACCTTTAGAATTTCCAAAGGCCGCAAGTGACCCACCAGCTTCAAAACGGTCTGGAGTCAGTTTATGTATGAATCCCATGTGGTCAAAGTATAACGTGAAAATTTTATCAGTGATAGATCCAATCTTACTATATATTTCTAATCCTGTTAGGAAGGAAACAGAAGTCTCTTGATACTAATCTAATACAACTAGAGAACTTTGAACAGTGTACTTTGTAAAAACTCCTTCATTTAAACTAAGGGGTGGGAATAGGGCTCTAGGGCCCTGGAATTAATAAAACACATGCTAGTCTTTGTTAAGTCCCTAGGAAGTCTTCTCCAGGCTCCATTTCATTACAGAACCTGTTCGCTGAAGTAGGTAAACAGAGTGAGCAGAGGTTGAAGATGTTTAGAAGAGAAGAGGTAGCTCCCCCTGTAGTGGTGTCTCTTCCTAACACCAGGATGTCAGATTCCTGAGTGGGTAGAAGGCAATGAGGAAACATCCCTCAGGAAGGCAAGGGGAGTTATAATAGAGGCCACTGGATCATACACTCTATTAGGGCGACACGCTGAGAGGTACTGGGAGTGGTCTGGTAGGACAGCAGCGTGCACTTAACCAAACACACACAGATCCAGAGAGAGACCCCCTGGGAGGAAGATGGAGCCAAAGTGAAAGCTCAGGTCTCTGGGTGAACAAGGCCGATTTCCACACATACCACCCAACCCTCTGGAGCTGGGCCTGGCTGTCCTGAGATCCACCTGCCTGTCCCTGATTCTTAACTGCTGGAGTTACCAACTCAGTCTTCTATCTCTTCTCTCACTATCTGGAGATCTCATCCAGTTCAGGATTTAAAATCCATCTTTATGAGGATGACTCCCTAATTTAAACCTCCCGTCTCGTTCTCTTCCCTGAACTCCAGACTTATGTCTGTCTACTGACAGTCCCAGATCCACGTCAGTCAGGTATCTCCAACTGGACTCACCCCAGACTGAACCCCCAGTCCTGCGCAAACCTCCTTCATCCTTAGGCTTCCTCATCCCCATTAATGGCAACCGCGTTATTCTTGTTGTTCAGTCTGAAAGCCTTGGTGTGGTTCTTAATTCCTCTCTTTCTCTCACACCCTTTATCTACTCCATCAGCAAATCCTATTGACTTTAGCCTCAAAATATATATAGAACCCAACCACTTCTCATCACTCCCACGCTGTGCAAGTCAATATGATATAAGAAGGAAGGAAGCAGTTTATTATGAGGAGTTCGTTCCTGGTTATGGAGGCTGAGAAGTCCTATGATCTGCCATCTGCAAGCCAGAGAGCCACAGACCTGAGCCCCAGGGGAGCCAATGTTGAATATCCGAATCGGAGGCCGAAAGCCTGAGGACCGGGGGCTACTGATACCAGTGCCCGTCCAAGGGCCGGGGACCCGTCCCAGGTCTAGCAGACAGTCAGGAAGCAAAAGGGGTGAATTCCTTTACTCCACCTTTTGTTTCTACTCTGGTCCTTAAGGGACTGGATGACGCCTACCCCCTTTGGATGCTTATCGCATCCAAAAACAACTTCACAGACACACCCAGAAATAATCTGGGAACTTCTTGGCCTTTCAGGTTGACATATAAAATTAACCAGTACAATTGCTAAGGTTCGATTTGCCATATTTCACCTATAAATATAAGCTACATATTTTTTTCACATTTTAACATCTTGTAAATGGATATACATTTTATAATCGATGTGTTTTATAATCATTGTCCAGCAGATGGCACTCACGCCACAGTGGTTAATTGGTTACACACGCGTATACTTTATATTGTCTTTCTTTCTTTCTTTTTTTTTTTTTTGGTTAATCCTCACCCAAGGATATTTTTCCATTGATTTTTTAGAGAGACTGGAAGGAAGGGAGAGAGGGAGGGAGGGAGGGAGGGAGAGAAACATCGATGTGAGACACATCGATTGGTAACCTCCCGCATGACTCAGACCAGGGCTAGGGATTGAACCTGCAACCAGGTCCGTGCCCTTGATCGGAATTGAACCCATGACCCTTCTGTCCTCAGGCCAATGCTCTCTAACTGCTGAGCCAAACTGGCCAGGCCTATATTGTCTGCCTTTATATTGTCATCACTTTGAGTTTCCTAAATCACTGGTGTACTGTATGTTGAGTTATATTGCTTCTTAAAATACTTTCACAAATATTACATTGTAATTTGACATTGAAATGGTTATTGTGGGTGCAGCACAACAGGAAAACAAAGCAGGGCATATATTCATCAACAAAGCAAAATGTGACCGGAACAATTACCATAATTCCACATTTTCTTGTAGAACCACCACCAGTACTTTACAGGATCTAAGAAAGGTGGAAACTCACAAGTAGATGAAATTGCATTGTGTTTTATCACTTAGATGACGTGAAAAATTTGCCTGACTATACACCAGTCAATGCAGTTATAGGCAGGGAAATCATGCCGCAGTAATAATCTAGGCATTACCCAGGATCACTGTTAAAACATTGTGTCCAAGTTTAATTGGAAGTGTTTTTTGTTCTCTGTTTTAACAAGGTGCATCTTGCAGTCAAAAAACCTTATATTTGATGAACTATAATGTTTATAATATTCTTCTATTGGATTTGAATATGAATAACTAGTGGAGGTGGCTCCAAAGTCTTAGGTGATATTATTTTTCTCTAAAGGTTCTTTATTTTACTTTATTTTTTATCCTCACCTGAGGACATTTCTGCATTTATCTTCAGATAGAGCAGGAAGGAGAGAGGGAGGAAGAGAGAGAGAGAAACATCGATGTGAGAGAGCCACATCGACTGGCTGCCACCCACACAACCCCAACCAGGGCCGGGGACAAACTGCAACCGAGGTATGTGCCCTTAGTGGGAACTGAACCGGGGTCTCTCTGGTCTGCGGGCCGACGCTCTAACTGCTGAGCCAAACTGGCCAGGGCCTGATTGACATTTTCTATTTCAAATAATTCCAAAGTGTTATTGTTTTTATTATTGGTTTTGCTTTTAGTTTTAAAAAAGTAATGTGCTATGATTAACTTTGGTTTTTTTAATTCTTATTTTCAGTATGTATTCATTTATCCATGTAGATAAAATAGAGAAACACCCAGCCAGCACCTCTGTGCATCACGGGAAATTCCTACAACTCGCCATTTCTCAATTTTTAGCATCTATATTTGTCATTTCAGATTGTTCCCATTTATTGCTTTTTCATTCTGCATGTGAACATGTCTCTGTAGTTTATATCTATAACTGCTAAGCATTTAGGATTTATATTGGCAATTTAGTTTAGTTTTCTTAGGTGTTAATTATTTTTACTATTCCCGAAGTCATCTTGCTTAGTCTATTTTGATTTTTGTTTCACAATATGTGCTATTTATTCTCTATTTTCCCATCCCTTCAGCTCCATTCTCAGGCTTTCTCTTTCTTGCCCAGGGCACTGGAAGGCTGCCCGCTATGAATCGCAATGCTGCGCTGTTTCTAGCTGGCTTCTGGCTGGGGTTGGCTGATGAGAGGCACTAGCAGGAGATTCGAACAAGGGAAGGAGAGAGAAGTCTGTCTGTCTATCTATCTGTCTACCTACCTACCTACCTACCTACTTATCTCCTATGTGTTTAATAGCATTACCCCTTTATTTATTTATTTATTTTATCCTCACCCGAGGACATTTTTCCATTTTTTGTTCAGATAGAGCGGGAGGGAGAGAGAGAGAGAGAAACATCGATGTGAAGGGACACATCGAGTGGCTGCCACCCGCACGACCAACCAGGGCCGGGGACAAACTGCAACCGAGGTACGTGCCCTTAGCGGGAACTGAACCCGGGTCTCTCTGTAGTATTACCCCTTTAATCAAAGAGACTGTAATGACTTTCTTCCATTGCTAATCTTCAGATATTTCATTATCATTGTTGGTTCTTTTGACTGTGTCTACTGCTCTTCAAGTGAAACACTTGAGTGGAATTATGTTTCTAGCAGGACCACAGCTGGTAGAGTCTTTTTTTTTTTTTTTAAATCAGAAATGTCCCTAGAAAACAGAATATCAAGGTGGGATCCTGGGGCTGAGTAGCTCACACATTTAAGGAATGCACAGATGACCTCTTGTGCCTGGTAGATATTGTGACACTTGCCATCCCTAGCAAGCAAGGGCATCACAATTGCTCAGATTATTACTGGTGATGGCATGGGATGGAGTGCCTGTGGGGGCGAGACTTCAGGGGAAAGTGGGGTGGTGTACTTGATTACAACGATGATCATGGTTTTTATGAAGATTGTGAGGGTGGTATAAATTTTATGGATATATTGGAAGGTTTACAAAAAGAAAAAGAAAAAAAGAAGAAGAAGAAGGAAAGAAACACTTATGATCTTGAATATCCAACTCAAGGCCAGAGTAGGAACCTGACAGCTTTATGGGGCAAAAATAAATCTTACCTCATACCACACACACAAAGTTAGAAATTTTACAAAGACGTATATAAAAAAATAAAAAACAGTCTGTCAGAAGAGAAGAGGAGAATCTTAACTTTGGAACAGGCAAAGATTTCTTAACAGGATATAAGAAGCAAGAAGCACTAATTATAAGAGAAAAGATTCATAAATTTAACTTTTAAAAATCAATAATTTTGCTCATCAAAAGATACCATGAAGAGAATATAAAAGACAAGAAAGTGGTTGGAAAGAGATGTTTGCAAGACATATTTCTGAAAAAGGACTTATACCCATATTACATTAAAACTCATAGAAGTCAATAAGAAAAAGTCAATTCAATCAAAAATTGATTTAAAAGACCTGAGGACATAATATACCAAAAGTATATATAAAAATTGGCCAATGAACATATGAAAATGTGCTTAATATGATCACTTATGCAAACTAAATCTTCAATGAGATACCATTACATACTCACAGCAATGGCTCAGCTTTGAGAAGACTAACAACAATACTAAGTGTTGGTGAGAAGGAGGAGCGACTGGGATTCCTTCCCATTGTGGGTAGGACAGTAAATTGATACACTTACTATGGAAAAGTGTTAACAGCACTTAATTTTTTTCCACCAAAAACTAAACAAACATATACTGGATGATGTGGCAATTATATTTCTAGGTATATACCAAACAAATGAAAGCTTTGTCCAGCAAAAATCTTATGCAGAAATGTTCACAGCACCTTGGTGGGGGTGGTTCAGTTGGTTGAGTGTGGTCCTGTGCACTGAAATGTTCGATTCCCAGCCTGGTTTTCGAGCTCAGCCCCCCATGAGGGGTGTGCAGGAGCCAGCCGATTGATGTTTCACTCTCACATTGATGTTTCACTCTCACATTGATGTTTCTCTCTTTCTCTTCCTCTCCCTTCCTCTCTAAAAATCAATTTAAAAAACTTTAAAAAATTGTTTTAATGATCATAGCTACTTTTATAAAATAATAGGTCTCAAATAGAAATGATTCAAATACCCATCAGCACTGGAATGGATAAATACATGATAGTATATTAAACAATGGAAGACTATACAGCAGTGAAAAAGAGCAAAGTATTAATAATTGCAACAATCTGAAGGAATCGCAGAGTTATAATGCTGACTGAGAAAAATCAGACACAAAAGAATATATACCGCATAATTCTATTTATATGAAGTTCAAAACCAGGTGAAACATTGGGATTAGTAGTCAGAACACTGGCTAGCCTTAGAGGTTCACAAACAGGAAAGTGGCTTGAGAGAGCTTTCTGGAGTACTGTAAATGGTCCATGTCTCGCTCTACTTCCCAATCCCTCCTAAGGATGTTCAGAGTCATTTCTGTTTATTTCACAATCATTTGATGGCTGATCATCAGACACTTACAGGCTATTGCTCGAATGCCATCTCAACAAATGATTCAGACAGATAAACGACAAAGGTAACCTTTATACCAGCATAAACCGAGCAACAGTTTTATTGACATAACCGAGAATAAGGAAACGCAGTGGTGAAGATGTCAGGAAACGGAATCAGACTTAAATGACCTTTCCTTATCCTTGAATCAGACAAACCAACAGAGATTTTATGGTGATACAACCGATTCTGCCGGTGAGCACCAAGGACACAACACGGAGGTCCAGGAAACCAGACTTTCTGAAGTCAGATCAGAAACCTTAAGAAAGCGTGTTGTTTAACATTGTATCAGAGACTTACAAGACCAGAAAAGAAAAACTGGTTTTAAGCCAGACAGTCAAGAATGCTGACAATGTTAAAAACAAACCAAAAGAAAACCGGTCTCACACGCTTGACTTGGAGATAATCAGTGTTTCCCCACTCTGGTTAGACCTTATCAGATAGCTCCAAGTTCACTCCAATCTCCAAACTTACTCAATATTCTATAAAAGTGCTACTTGAGCCCTGGCCGGTTTGGCTCAGCTCATGGACCAAAGAGTCTCGGGTTTGATTCTGGTCAAGGGCATGTGCCTCAGTTGTGGTTCATTCCCCGGCCCTGGTGGGGTTGTGCAGAAGGCAATTGGTCGGTATGTCTCTCTCACATCGATGTTTCTCTCGCGCTCTCTCTCCCCCTCCCACTCTATCTGAAGATAAATGGAAAAATATCCTCAGGTGAGGATTTTTTAAAAAAGTGCTACTTGAGCATTGTTGGGAGACTATATTTCTGAAGTTACTTTCCATTGCCTATTAAGTTATTGAATTTCAGCATTACTTTTGCACATTTGGTAGCTCCATCATCTTGTGAACACCTAACAAAATGAACCCTCTTTGAAGAAAATATGACTTTGTATTAGACAATGGTCTCTTAGATAATAGAAAAATTAAGCCATCAAAATTAAAAATGTTTGTACCTCCAAAAGCACCATCACAAAAGTAAAAAAATTACCCTCAGAATGAGAGAAAATGCATGCAAATCATATATTTAATAAGAGATATATCCAGAGTATATAAAGTACTTTCACAACTCAACAATAAAGACAATTAACCCAATTTTTAAATGGGCAAAGAACTGAAGACATTTCTCTAAAAAAGATATACAAATGGCCAATAAACACATGGAAAGAAAGATGCTTAACACCATTAGTCATTCAGTAAATGCAAATAAAAAACATAAGATACAATTTCTCACCCACTAGTTACCATGCTACGAACAACAGACAAAAACACCTATTGGTGAGGGTGTGAAGAAACAAACACATGTTGCTGGTAGGAATGTGAACTGGTACAGCTACAGTTTTGCAATTCCTCAAAATGTTAAACACAGAATTAACATAATACCTAGCAATTAGACGCCGATGCATGTACTTGTGGGAACCAAAAGCATATTGCTACACAAAAACTTGTACACAAGTGTTCTTAATGGCATTATTTTGATAAGACCCAGAAGTGGATAAAACATTCAATGTCCATCAACCCAAATATCCTGACAAAGGGATTAACAAAATGTGCTCTGTTCATACAATGACATATTATTCAGCCATAAAAAGGAATGAAGTGCTGATATGTGCTATAACATGGATAAAACTTGAAGACAATATGTTAAATGAAAGAAGCCAGTAACAAAAGGACAAATACTGTGTGATTCCACTTGTATGACGTACACAAGAGTAGTCAAGTTAATAAGGACAGAAAGTAGTTGCCAGGGGCTGGGAGGAAGGAAGAATGGGGAAGTTACTGGTTGATGGGTATGAAATTTTAGTTTGGGCAGATGGAAACGTTCTGGAGGGAGATGGATGGTGATGGTATTTGTAAAGCAATATGAAGGTGCTTAATGTCACTGAGCTGGACACTTACAAATAGTTAAAATGTGCCCTGGCCAGTTTGGCTCAGCGGTTAGAGCGTCGGCCTGCGGTCCAGAGAGACCCGGGTTGGGTTCCCGCTAAGGGCACGTACCTCGGTTGCAGTTTGTCCCCGGCCCTGGTTGGGTTGTGCGGGTGGCAACCAGTCGATGTGTCCCTTTCATGTCGATGTTTCTCTCTCTCTCTCTCTTCCTCTCTCTCCTTCCCACTCTATCTGAACAAAATATGGAAAAATGTCCTCGGGTGAGGATTAAAAAAAAAAAAGTTATAATGCTAACCTTTGTTAAGTATATTTTACCATGAAAACAAATAGATAAATGAACAGCAAAAAAAACAAAAACAAAACTACCAGCAGAAATAAATAAAGAAAAGGAACAACATGCCAAAATGTAAAAAACATGTAAGAGCTAAGGAAAGAAAGAGAAAAGTGTGATGTAACAGATCATGCTACTCCGCGTCCAGCCCTCTGAGCAATATTGAGAGAAGGAAAGTAAAATAAAAATTCCTGAGGACTCCCAGCAACACCCTCCTAACATGGGAGAAGTTGACAGCGAATGAGATGGGATCCAAAGTAAAAGCAAAGGGAAAAGTCAAGCCCTCGAGTGAAGTCAGATTTACCACCTTCCAAGGCACTGCATTGAGTTGAGAAGATGAATCCAGGTTCTACTTGATGAGGGGAAGCAAACAGGTCTTGAGAATAATTCACCTATACTATATACGAGCAAATAGCATCAATAAAAAAAAAAACTACTCAGGAGTTAACCAAGGTAGTTAAAGGTAACCCTAACTCACCAAATGGGAAAGAATATTTGTAAATCATATATCTGATAAGGGATTAACATCCAGAAAATATAGAGAACTCTTAAAACTCAAAGTAAGAAGAACACCAGCAATCTAATTAACAAATGGGCGAAGGACTTGAATAGACATTCCTCCAAAGAAGATTTACAAATAGACAGAAAGCACAAGATTCTCAACATCACTAATCACTAGGGAAATGCAAAGCAAAACTATAATGAGATACGACCTCACACTCACAGCGGTTCTCAACCTGTGGGTCGCGATCCCTTTGGGGGTTGAACGACCCTTTCACAGGGGTCACCTAAGACATAACAGTAGCAAAATTACAGTTATGAAGTAGCAACAAAAATAATTTTATAGCTGGGGGTCACCACAACATGAGGAACCGTATTAAAGGGTCGTAGCATTAGGAAGGTTGGGAATCACTGCTTAGGATGACTATTATGAAAAAAAAAACAGAAAATAAGAAGTGTTGACAAGGATGTGGAAAAATTGGAAACTTTTACACTGGTGAAGTAGCCGTTGTGGGAAAAGTAAGGCGGTTTCTCAAAAGAAAGAAAGAAAGATTTACTATATGGCCCAGCAACTCCATTTCTGGGTATACACCCAAAAGAATTCAAAGAAGAGTCTCAAAGAGATACTTATATACCCATGTTCATAACAATGCTATTCACAATAACTAAACCATGGAAGAAACCCAAGTGTCCATCAATGAGATGAATGAATAAGCAAAATATGGTATATAAAGAATGTTATTCGGCCTTTAAAATGAAGAAAATTCTGCAGTATGATACAACACAGATGAACCTTGAGGACATTATGCTAAGTGAAATAACCCAGTCACAAAAGAACAAATATTACATGATTCCACTTATTGGAGAGACCTCCAGTAGTCAAAATCATAGAGACAGAAAGTAGAATGGTAGTTGCCAGGGACTGTGGCGAGGTGGGATTGGGGAGAAGGGTATAGCTTCAGTTTTACAAGATAGAAAGAATTCTGGATATGGACGGTAATGATGGTTATTGAACATTTTGAATGTATTTAACATGACTGGCTAAGACAGTAAATTTTATGTTATGTGCATTTTACCACAATTAAACTTTAAAAATCACTCTTAATAGGTTCTAGACTTTACGATAAATTGGTTAATATGGCTGATTTTTTTCATGTATCTTCCTATCCCTGGCCACATATATAGAGCTTACACTAATAAAAATGAATTCCTTACCTGCCTTCGTCAAGTAAACCTTTCCACTTTGGGAAACCAAAGTAATATCGGAAGTATAGAAACTATGATAAGTATTCCTTATGATATCATCATGAAAGTCAGCTAATAATTCAAAAGTGTTGCCACCATCGATTGAAAGCCATACCTAAAGGAATAAAGGGACACCTCATTAAAGAGCTGTCATGGAACAGGCAACAATTACCTATGAGCCTACTCCTCCTCCATGAGAAAAGTCATGCAGCATGGTCTTTTCCACATGCCCACATCCATCCATCCACCGGACCCCCAACACATACTGACTGTTTACTTGGTCGACTCTGTATTTCCTTCCTGGAGTTTGGGTGACAGTCTATGTGGCAGGCACAGGTCTACACAGTATGCATGGTGAATGTACAAAAGAACGAAGTTATCCCCATCATCTCCCAAATGGGATCCCCTTGTTCATAAAAGGATGAAGTGCTGGGTGTATTTGCATATGGGAGAGAGTTTACTGCACATTGACATGAGACTTCACTTTCCGGACATCTGGCAAATATGTGTGCAAACAAACATGTGGTGTGTGGAAGAGTCCCTGACACGTGCAAGAGCGTGTCCTCAAATGCTCCGCCATACACAGCATGTATGTTTCTCTGTGTCCTCATCTTTTTTCTTAAAAATTAACTTTAGTGGCAAGTTGTACCTGAAAATAGGCTTTTCTTAAATTTAAAACATTATAATGTGGCTGAAGTCTCTTTGACCACCATCCAAATAATTCTCCTTTTATACCTCATCCGATATAATCGTGGTCTCCTGTATCCCTTCCCAGAGGTAACTACTGTTCCCAATTTGAAAATTCTACACCTTTACATATACCCAGAGGATATGTCCAGTACAGTTCATCATATGGTGAGGAGGAGGAGAGGAGGCATATATCTGGGAAGCACTACCTTTAGACTTGGGCAAGAGGGACCCTTGTTCTGGACTGCATACTTAGTGTATCTGCATATTACAAACACACAGAGAAAGTTTATTAATTAAGCGATGCTTCCATCTCTCAGGAATATAGCACTCATTGCTGGCATAGCACAATCCATGTCCTAAACATATGATATGGGACCTCCATCTTCACTCTTGCTTTGGACCCTGCAAACGTTCCTGGTGAGCATGGTGATGGGTGGGGACATGGGGCTGGAAGGGGAGGGAGCTTTGAACAGTATGTTCAAAATGGCATCATACTGCACTGTTGTTCTGTAAGTTACATTTGCCATTCAGTGGATCTCAGGTCATTTTGCTAGCTCATGTGATCTTCACGTTCTTCTGTACCGAAGCATCCTTCAACTTTATGGCGGTATCACACCTGAGATTCTCTATTTTCCAGCTAACGAACATGTAAAGGTCATATCAAAAGGCTCACTGCTATACACAATACTACAGTGAACATTCTGCCTGCCTCTTTTGAAAACTATCTTATTTTTCCCACCATTCATCCCCTCAAGGTCTGCCTGCCTCCTTGGACTGCTGGGGAAGCGCCCCTCTGGAGCAGGCACTGAACACTAAGTTGCTGAGTCAGGCTATGCACATGCCTATAACGTTAACAGACACTGCCGACGTGTTCTTGAATTTCGCTAAACCAGTTTATATTCTTATAGGTAATGTATGAGAGTATCAATTTCTCCAAACCTCACCAATTCTTGATATTTTCAAAAGTTAATTTTTACTGATTACTTGAATAAAAACAATGGCATCTCATGGCATTGTCTAAATAGTTTTAATTATTAATCTATTGATGGCTCACTTTTATTTTTCTTATGTTAATTAATATAATGAACATGTGTGCACTGACAGCTAAGCCCAAGAATGAGCATATAGCTAGTCCTTTACCTTTTCCTATGTCTCTCCCCAATCCTGCCTCCCTGTCTGTTTCCTCAGAGATATCCAATGTCTAGAAATTTGTGTTTTTCATTCCCTTGCTTTATTAAAGTTTTAGCACATAAGTATGTTTAATTTATTGCTTGATTTTACTTCTTTTTCTCTTTATGCTTTTTTTTTATTCAAAGGTGTCATATCATATGGTCTTCTAGAACTTATTTCCTCCCAGTATCATTTCCTTATATGCATATATTTTGCATATGGTTCAGTTAATTTGCTTTTCTATTGCTGTGTAATAGTTCACTATGTGAATAACATGTACTGTATTCTTCTATTCATGGGCATCTGGATTATTTCCAGTCCTTCAGTGCTGTGGTGAACACTGCTGTGATGAAAATGTTCAAATGTTTTCTCATATATATGTTCCCCTTGACAAGAAAGTGACATCAGCGGGTCATGGAATATGCAAACATTAAAATTTACAGGACAACAATAATGCCAAATTGCTTTCCTAAAGAGTTGCTGTGATTTACCCTCCCATCAGCATGTCTAAGAGATACACATCCTCTTCAACATGTGTGTTGTCAGAATTAATCTTGCCAATTAAATTGCTTAAAATGATATTCCATTGCTTTCTTGATTTGTAGTTCCCTGATGACTTGTGATTATATCATCTCCTCACATGTTTGTTTCATTTGTATTTCTTTCCCTGTGAAATGCTCATTCATATTTAAAAAATTAATTTAGCCATTTTTAAATCAATTTAGCTTTTTTTTATTGCTTTGTAGGAATTTCTTATTTATTCTTACATATAATTCTTTCTCAGTTAAATGTATTGCAAATATTATTTCCCAGTTTGTTTTCACTTCTCATGATGTCTTTAATGAACATAGTTCTTCTCTTCCTCCATCTCCTTTTTTGTTTGTTTTAGTAATTTGTAAGTATCTTTTAGATTTTCTACTTAGATAATCATACCTTTTGATCATATCTTTTAGAGGTTTTTTTCTAATTTTTAATATTCATTCCTTAATTATTTTCTTTGTCTTGCTGCATTCCCTTCTGTGCATTCTTTTACTTCTTGATAATTTCTTTCTAGAACTCAAACTGCTGTTAAATACAACTCTGTCTTCTATATGAGGTATGTACCCCCACAACTGAACATGGAGAAGAACATGCAGTTATGTGGACTGGTCACACTTACATCATGAGCACAGCCCGGCCGGTGTGGCTCAGTGGTTGAGCGTTGACTCATGCACCAAGAGGTCGCCTGTTCGATTCCCGGTCAGGGCACATGCCCAGGTTGTGGGCCAGATCCCCAGTGGGGGGCATGCAGGAGGTGGCCAATCGATGTTCTTTCTCATTGATGTTTCTATCTCATTGATGTTTCTATCTCTCTCTCCCTCTCCCTTCCTCTCTAAGTCAATACAGAAAAAATAATTAAAAAAAAAAAGATAGACATTAAAAAAAAAAATCATGAGCCCAAAGCTCAGGCAGTCACACTGCACTCCTTAGTTCATCCTCCCAGCCTCCGAGGCAACGATTTACTCTGTTCTCTTCCTCAAACCCCTAACCCTCTTCCTCCATCCTCACCCTCAAATAATGACTTTGATTTGTTATTGAGAAAACAGAAGATAAATCCCCACTTGCTTCCTGACCACAGCTACCACTTACCAGCTTTGGGCCCCTGAGCTCTCCCTTCCCTCCTGTGGCTGTAGGATCAGTCTCCTCCCAGGCCAGTCTCTCCTCTAGCGCAGGGCTCTCCTCTCCTCTCACCATTTAGAAATGTCCATCAGTCCAGACGTTGCTCTGTTCTCTCTCCTTCCTACCTCACAAGTTCCCCCCGCCTACTGAGCAACTGCCATTAGCACACGCATAACTTCTCCAATCTTAAAAAACAAAAATAAAACCTCTTCTCTTGAACACCCTTCCTCCTTCAAATATTGCCTCAGTTCAATGCTCCACTTCTGTTTTTGGGGGGGAGGGGCTGATCTTCACCTGAGGATATATTTTCATTGATTTCTAGATAGAGGGGAATGGAGGGAGAAAGGAAGAGATGGAGAAGGTGGCATGGGGCAGGGGGAGAGAGAAACATTAATGTGAGAGACACACATATTAATTGGTTGCCTCCTGCACGACCCCAACCAGGGCCGGGGATCGAACCTGTAACCCGGGTATGTGCCTTTGACTTTGAACCTGCGATCCTTCTGGGCTGACACTCTAATCACTGAGCCAAACCAGCCAGGGCCACTGCTCCACTTTTCAACAAAACTTTGCAAAAGATTTGTTTGTATTCATTGTGTCTAATTCCCCTCCTCTCAGTCTCTCTCTTTTTTTTTCCCATTTTTTGTTCAGGTAGAGTGGAAGGGAGAGAGAGAGAGAGAGAAAGAGAGAGAGAGAAAGAAAGAGAGAGAGAGAGAGAGAGAGAGAGAGAGAGAGAGAGAGAGAGAGAGAAACATTGATGTGAAAGGAACACATCAAGTGGCTGCCACCCGCACAACCGACCAGGGCCGGGGACAAACTGCAACCGAGGTACGCGCCCTTAGCGGGAACCGAACCCGGGTCTCTCAGGACCGCAGGCCGACGCTCTAACCACTGAGCCAAACCGGCCAGGGCTCTCAGTCTCTTTTCATCGGGCTTTCCACCTCCCCAGTCATCAGTGAGATTTTACTCCAAACACAACACTCGGCTGAGAGGACGTGAATGGCTCACACCCACTGGAAGCTCATGTGCACACACCTGATTGCCATAGGCGTACAGAAAATGGCTTCGTGGATGGAACACCATTCCAACAGGAGAAGAGAATGATGAAGGAAACGTAAAGACTGGAAATTTTTGTTTTATTCTTGGTTTGTTCATTTCTAGGATGTGTACAGAGGCAGTGGTCTCCTTCTAGAAATAAAGCATGAGCAATCATAAGAATTTTTCCATTAATAATACTAGCCTATGTTACAATTTTTAGAGTTTCCTGTTACTCGAAGTTTCAGACAGGGACCCATTAACACAGCATAAAACTGGAAGGATTAGCAACCATCGATATCTCTTTACTGGGCTCCCCCCCCCAATCTACATCCATTTAATAGCTGTTGAACATGAAGTTTAGAAGATGAAATAACTTCTCCAAGGTTCTATAATAAATGACAGAATGACTGAACTCAGCAGAAAGACTCGAATGCTCACGCTAATAACTATTACTTCAAAGTACTTTTTAAAAGTGTTGACCCCTGGGCCACATTCACAATCTACTGGATCACGATCGTGAAGGGAATTAGAATATGTACCCCAAGATAGGCACTTTGGTATGAAGATTATTTTAAGCTGAAGACATTTGATACTCAACAGATGCAGGGGGGGAAAAAAAAAGCCTTTCCTTATCTGACTAAAAGCAGCAATGTTGAGAAATAAGACTGCCACCAATTCCTCTTCAGGGTGGATAAACTCCCATGAGGAAGAATATGAATAAAACCTACCCCAAAACCTTCCTTCATGAAAGATTTATCAACCTGAAGGAGACAGAAAGACCATACAGACCTGTATAAACAAACTCTATCTCCTGCTTGTTCTCCTGTGAAGCCATTGTCTTTCATTTGTTTTCCTTAAGTGCCTTTCTCACCCCCCTTATTAGGGTGTCTAACCACCTTGTTGAGTTACTCATCACTGATTTTCACCTGCCTGTACATGTACTGCACACATCAATACATTGTTTTCTTTTCTCCTGTTACTCTGTCTTTTGTCAGTTTAATTTACAGGACCCTGGCTACTGAACCTAAGAGGGTAGAGAAACATTGTTTTTTCTCCCCTAAAATGAAAGGGTAGGGCTGAACTTATATATATTTTTAATGGCTCTAAGAAAAAATCTAATTCACAGTTGGGGTTAAGACCCATTGAAATAGAAAACATAGATCTGTGGCAATTTGGTTCCATTATTTGTTAACCTAAACTGACTACTTTTATGAAACCTTAAATTTACATAGAACTAACTCAGCTTATATTCTTGGGAGAATAAGAAAAAAAGAATTATTAAGCAAATAGCATCATATTTTCTACTTTCATCAAACTGAATGACAGTCAGAGGCAAGAACTCTCTAAAGTATCTGAATCTGTATTACTAGCCGTAAATCATTTTGCTGTAGTTAATTTTATCAACTTCCACTGCCAAAGATGACAAGCACTCGGATGGTTTTGCTTAGTTACATTTTCATTGTTGTAGCGTCAGGAGCAATCCCCTCCGGGCTGCAGGGCCTACCTGGTTGTTTAAGAGGTAGACTCCGGAACCACACTCTTGGTCAATAAGAAATGTTATTATACTTGAAGAGATAGTCTTCATTCCTTTTGGAAGCTGAGGTAAGCAAGGTAACCATTCAAAAAATGGCTCTCTGCTATAAAAACAAGAGCTTGCCTGCAAAAAGGGAGAGGAAATGTTAATGCTGTTTTTGACATATAAGCTCTAATTAGCACTCTTCAGAAAATAAACTAATGACTGGCTACAGATAAAAGTGTTAAACCTTGCCCAGCCGATGTGGCTCAGTGGTTGAGCGTTGACCCATGCACCAAAAGGTCGCCTGTTCGATTCCCGGTCAGGACACATGCCCAGGGTGTGGCTACGATCCCTTGTGGGGGGCATGTGGGAGGTGGCCAATCGATGTTCTCTCTCATCCATGTTTCTATCTCCCTCTCCCTCTCCCTTCCTCTCTCTCTAAAATTCAATAAAGAAAAAAGATATGAAAGTGTTAAATCTGGGGGAAAAAAGGTGTAAAATCTTTAATGCCTATACTTCTCATCTGAGGGATGTAAGTTCAGAGAGCTCCCTTCTGGCATGGACTGTCTGCCTAGATTTCGTGTAGTTAGGCAATCACCATTAAACCCACGTAGAGGAGCCACTGAGAGAAAGTAATGGTTAAGTCTTTCAGTCTGCAGAACCGCTATTGTTTTAGATTAATAACCATCCATCAAATCATACACAGTACAGTTTCTTACCTTTTAAAATATTAAATGCCATACCTCACTTAAAGTCTTGTTTCTCTCAAAGGTGATAGTAATATAGTCAACTATAAAACATGAAGGTACAGAAATTACATGCAGCATCGATATTTCTAAACGTATCACTAACTATGCTCAAATCAAATTTCTTGCAATTCTATCAGCACGTGCCTATTGTTTCAGATTCAAATTAATTTTTCCCCTTAGTTTTAAGCCATGAACTTATACAGAACAAACCTATCTACATTTTACTCTATTTTTATTTTGTCATTTTATTTCATCTATATGTGCTATTCATGTTGAATAAAAGTCCATAAATATCTCTTTACCTAAAATTTACCTTCAAAGTGTTCTCTGTTAGCAAAACATCTTTCGTTATACCACAATTTTCCTTTGACATAGTCAACCTACATAAATAAATAAAAATATCAGTTAGGCAATATGTAGATTTAAGATATAAAATAGGAAACACATTTTTAAAAATTTTAAGGTTCAATAGTTCAGGAATATGGAGCAAATAAAGACAGAAAAATTATATGCAAATAAAAGGGTGTAGAGTGAGGATAAGAAACAAGAATAATGCTTTTTGAACAATACACTCACAAAAGGAATGAAAAGAGATTTCTCCCGAATTAGCAGGTGTCAATGACAGACGCCTAGCCCATGAACTCGTTATCGGAAGCTACAGAAACTGTGAACCTTTCATCAGTCACAATGGGTCACGCGTTTATCTTTTATTCTTCATTAGATGCACCAGGCTTCAGGACTCTTCACAGAAGCCCAACAGTGGCAAGAAGCAAGAAGCAAGAAGCCACAAAAACATAGGTTTTGAAAAACTGGTCATAAGAGTGAAGCTTTCAAGAAAGTGAGATTATGTATGTTGAATATGAATTATATGCAAGAGTTTGAGAGGGACTTTTTTGTTATAGGAAAATTCTGACTTTCAAATTATTGTTGAAACAAAAGGGAGACCTTACATTTTTATAGGTCAGTAATAAAATCTGTATAAACTGCATTAAAACCTTTTTACATATTCTAAAACAGATAGTGGTAATGGTTGTACAACTCTCTGAGTCTACTAAAAGCCCATTGAATTGTCTACTTCAAATGGGAGAATTTCATGCTATTTGCATTATATTCTCAATAAAACTGCTAAACAAAGAAGCAAAAAAACATTTTGAAACAGAATGTGCAACAATTTATTTAAATGGTGTGGTATCTTAAAGCTAAGGTGTTATAGCGAATGAATCTTTGAGCTCTTATATAAATCTTCAGGTTTGTAGGACACCATAATTATCATTACAATATCTGAATAATTAATATAGAATCTTTTTTATTTATCCTCATCCGAGGACGTTTTTCCATTTTTTGTACACATAGAGTGGGAGGGAGAGAGAGGAAGAGAAAGAGAGGGAAACATCGATGTGAAAGGGACACATAGAGTGGCTGCCACCCGCACGACCAACCAGGGCCGGGGACAAACTGCAACCGAGGTACATGCCCTTAGCGGGAACCGAACCCGGGTCTCTCCGGACCGCAGGCGGACGCTCTAACCGCTGAGCCAAACCGGCCAGGGCAATATAGAATCTTTATTGGACCCTGACTTATTCCTTTTCTTCCTCTTTATTTAGATTTCTTCTTGTTTATTTCCTACCTGCAATCAAACTGGTAAGAGCCCAGTCAATATCTTAGGGAATAATTTCATCTGATCAGTTGACTTCATTGCAAAGGATGATCTGATGACCCAAGTCTGACTTAGAGTCACAAGGATTGGTCAGGAATGAACACATAATCCAATTCAGGGTAATGAGTCAGCCCTGAAACTTGCTGGAACTGCTGGGAAAGAGAAACTCTATTCCTGTTGGGATTGCTAAAGCAATCACTTATGGACCTGGTGGCTCTTCTCACTCACAATTGTAGAAAACATGCTGAGAATGAAGCCGATAGCTGGCAAGGGTGGCGGGGGCGAGGGGTAGGCACGACGAGCCTGAGGACTGTAGGAAAGGCCCTGATCGTGAAGGATCTTGCATGTCTCACACAAGTTAGAATTATATCCTTGAAGAAGCGCCCCAAAGTCCCTGCTCTTTCTTCTCAACAGATTTCGGTGGCTAACGGATTTTCCTCACGCCAACTTCCCAATTTAGCATCTTTGTACTTACTACGACACCTGTCTGAATGTGCTTCTTCAAGTGGTTCAAGTTTCCACTTAGATTTCACCTCCTTGGAGAGGTCTGCTACAATCACCCTATTTAAAGTAGAATATTATCTTCCCTTCACTCTCCTGCTTTAATTTAATTTAATTTTATTTCCCTCGTCTGTTTTAATTTTGCTAAGCCCTGGTCTATAATCATCTCACGCATTTGTTTGTGTGCTTGTTTATGACCTATCTCCCTCGGCAGAATGGTAAGCTATGTGAAAGTAGGGACTGTGTCTTATTCTGGAATTCTTCTTATCTAAACAAGCATGGGTTATGGAAAGTACTCAAATATTTGCAGAATGGATGAATAAATAAATGAATAAATCATCAAGTAGTAACTCCTTCAGACCTGCCTAAACAGCCACATATATCCCTTTCTTACCACCCTGCTTTTGGTCATTATAAAAAAGGTCTCATTTACAGGTAAATCCTTATACTTTTTAGGAATAATTTCACTTTTTGCCCTGACCGGTTTGGCTCAGCGGTTAGAGCGTTGGCCTGAGGACCAGAGAGTCCTGGGTTCGGTTCCCGCTAAGGGCATGTTCTTCGGTTGCAGTTTGTCTCCGGCTCTGGTTGGGGTCATGTGAGTGGCAACCAGTTGACGTGTTTCTCTTACATCGATGTTTCTCTCTCTCTCTCCCCCCACCCCTCTCCCTTCGCTCTATCTGAAGATAAATGCAAAAATGTCCTCGAGTGAGGATAAAAAAAAAAGAGAAGAATTTCACTTTTGAGTGTGTGTGCATCTGTGAGGAAAAATGGAGGAGGGGACTTGACAAAAGGCTAGGAATACTCGAAATTTTTGTTGTGGTTTCCAAACTAAAGCATGCTTATATGTTGATGGAAATGACCTATTGAATCATGAAACTTGACCTTGTATCAGAGAGGGGAGATAATCGATGGACTAAAGTCTCCCCAAAAAGCCAGACGCAGAGGTGTGACAAGCTTATTTGGCACGTTTGCACAAATTAGAAAGTGACTTTCTCCAGGGAGGCACAGGTCTGCACAGGCGTAGGTGGACTGGGGGGAAAGTGTCAGCCAGATTTCGGCCCCTCCTCTCTTTCCCACTGGGCGCCCCATGCAGAAAATACCTACGCACCCCTGCAATCCTGGTCAGCACGTGAAACAAGGCAGCCTCTGAAACAAGGAGGGGCACTTGTCTTTGGAACAGAAGAGGAGATCATTGCTTGAGAGCTAGTAGAAATACAAGTTTTTAGCTCAAATGGTAAACAATATTACAGTAGCAGGAATAATCTATATTGTGAATTCTTGTCTTGCACCTCATCTCTTAGGGCAACCAAGGAAACATCTCTTTTAACCAACCCTTGGAGATTTAAAGCATCTTACCCTTTCGAAACCACAAAAGTCTGCCCTTGAAAACTAGAAGAAAAAAAAGAAGAAGAAACTTTGATTTTTGCTTGATATGAGAAGGCATAACACAATGTAGTGATTTAAAGGCGATGTTTCTTTTATATCCCGGCAGTTGGGAGCATCACCCTGAAACCAGCCACTTAAGTAGTTTGCACAATACCCTGGAGATTTCCTCTTCAGTCTTTGCCTTGTTTCGCCATTTGATTAATTTGCTTATACAACTTAATTCCAGAAAGGATTTGGGATCAAAACCCCATCTGTTGATGACTTAAGTGGAGAAGTTAAGAAGTGTGCAGAAATACACTAAGTCTGCCACCCACTTGGGATGAGGAAGGCACAGCCTTGACCGGTCATGCTCCCCACGGCCTCCTCCTGCCCAGCTCAGTGCAGCTCCTAGGTCAGACCCTCTGTCCTTTGAATGTGAGTCACTGTACTTGGCATCTACCACTCTCTGCTTTAGCAATCACACGATAAGGCCAGATAAACACATCGAAGGCCAGATTAGTTGTCTGAGCAACAAATGGTACTTTCTCAGAGATAGGGAGGAGGGAGGCTATGAATATTTGTATACCTCAAGAAAGGAATCATTATTACGCATAAGAAATACCTGCTTCTCAACCAGTACAATTGCCCCTTTCATACTTACCCTTATCTTTTCTTCTACAATTCCTAAGTCTTTATTACTTCTCTTATTTCTGTTGTGGTAATTTTTGAGAGGTATTTATTAACATGTTTAAGAATTTCATTCCACCCATGTTGTGTATGTTAACCAACATGTATATTCCCTGTCTCTCAATCCCAAATGTTACTTTAATTTGTTACTTTGTAATACTATATTTAGATTTATACCTTACCCTAAAGCATTTTGGGAACATATATAAAGATAGATAGATAGATAGATGATAGCTAGATGGATAAAGTATTTTCTACTTGTATATATATAAAACTTATTATAAATTTGTATAGCAATAAAACTAGCAAGATTTCCAAATATTCAACACTGTAAGGCAAGGGAAAAAGTTACTGTATTATGCTTGTATGTCCTTTAAAAGGAAGAAGCATTTCAATTCTAAGATACACCACACGTAACTGAGATATTCAATGTTTCTACTTTATATCACGGAAGATATTTTAGGCGAACTATTCATTACAAAGCTGTTCACATACCTTTAGGACAGGGGTTGATGGCTGACGAAGATCTCCACTTATAAAAAGTCCCAAAGAGGTGAGGATGACTAAGAAATGGTTTGTTAAAACCAAATCCACCACTGTGAGCTCCGTGTGTTCTACGGGAAGAGATCACACCATGGGTTGTGAAGTAAGGACAAGGTGAATGTGGATCCATTGTGGACAGATGAAATGCTGACGATGAAGGGCTGTCAGAGGAGTTACCTTCTCCCACGTGGGAATAGATCGTGCCCGTCAGGTTATACCACAGAGTATTGTCATAATCCCCAAATCCAGAAAAGCTGAGGCCTAGGTAAACACCTGCCACGAGAGGAAAGGAAAATTAAGGCTGGACAACCCTGCCGAGCGGGTGACTCACTTCTACGGGGCCAGGTCTTCAGGGGCCGGAGCCGGCCTCTCCTCCTGGCAGCCCGTTCTATGCCCACACCTCTCTCCTCCCCTCCCTCGGAACCTCCCTTCCCCACACTGGGAAGGTGGAGTACCTTCAGGTTACACCACAAGATTTTAGCCAACCATCTCACTTAATTATTAAGTATTTTGTTTTATATGGAAGGGGGTCAGACTTGGGCGCCCCAAAACGGGTCACTTTGCCATAAGGATTATTTGGAGCTGAAGACAATTGAGAATTAACAGATGGAGAAGAGTTCTCTGTCTTCTCCGTGTCTGCCTACAAGCAGGGCATACATTTTCCTTTGAGAAAGGCACCCCATTACACCAGAAAGAAAACACCCCTACACCAGACATGAGACAAGTTTTCATAAACACATCTTACAAAATAAGTGTTATCTTCCATTAGTCCCCCCAACTTATTTCCTAGTCACTTCCCCAGAATTTATTGTTCTGTGAAGCCCAGATCCCTTTCCTTTGTTACATGGTATATAAACTCACGAGTTAACTACTACTTTGACTTTCACTTCTTTTCTGTAAACTTCCTTGAATATAAATATAATAAAAACGACATGCCTTTTCTCCTAGTAGTCTGTGATCATTTAATTTACAGACCCCTGGGACTGAACCTAAGAAAGCAGATGAAGAGTTTGTTGTTCCTCAAACCCTTCTGAGCATAAATATGTTCCTATAGCATTGGTACAATTTTAGTAAACAATAAAAAACCCCAAAGACAAAAATTAAAATGTAAACTCTAAGAGAAAAGAAACTATGTGTGATTTATTTTAATATGTGCGATTTTAAAAATAGAAAAAATATTTGCTGATGCTTCATGAGCACTTAGTAAAAAATGACCAAACATATTGCAAATACTGAAAAGAACTTTTTTCCCTGATCCCACCTTTCCTTGGCCACAGCTCAGAGTGTTGTGTGTGTGTGTGTGTGCGTGCGCGCGTGTTTTAAACATAGAGTGGAAGGGAGGGAGAAGGAGAGGGGAAGAGAGAGAGAGAGAGAGACATGGATGTGAGAAACACATCGATTGGTTGCCTCCCGCATGACTCCAACCAGGGAAAGAGATTGAACCTGCTACACAGGTACATGCCCTTGACCAGAAATCAAACCCGGGACCCTTTGGTCTGTGGTCCGATGCTTTAACCATTGAGCCAAACTGGCCAGGGCAGGAGTCTTTTGTGTTTTAAATGTGGAATGTTAATTTGAAGTCTAGTCAAAAGTCATAATGTCTGGGGGTTTAGGAGTGTGGGGTGTGGGGGGCCTGAAGACAGTTGATAATCTAATGTATATACTTTGTTTCCAAAAGATGAATGCAGGACCAGTCATCTTGCAAAGGATATATTTTATTTCCTGGCTCTTTTCTGTGTAGATGAAGATGTAGACAAAAGTGTTATTATCATCTACTTTTTTCAGGAAGAGGAAAGCTAAAGATAAGCTTTGCCTTTCTAAGCACTAAGCCTAGCTCTACAGGTGACAGTATACGTACTATATTCTAAGTGGCGATGATGAGAGGTGTCTAGCTTGACATGATATTACATGACCAGACTCCAGCAAAGTTCAGAAATCGTTCATGCTTCATTCTGGTTAATATTTTAGACTGAAATTAAGTTACAGGTCACTCTCTATGACAAACTGGCCACAACTGTATCCCAGGGTTACAGAAGCAGAGGTAGACTATTGTGAAGAGTTTGGATGTTATTCTGGTGGACAAGGGAAGTTTGTAAGTGATGTGATTTGATTTGCACTTGAGAAGATCACTGTGGTGGCTGTATGAAGGGTGAGTATACTGGGACAAGACTAGAAACAGGGAGGCCACTTAAGAAGCTGTCAATTGGTGTCATGGAAAAACAATGTAGACTTGACATAAGATTTTAGCAGGGGTGAGAAGTGGTCACCATGGGGATAGCCACTGGGTACAGCACCATCCTGGAATGTCATGAGAGTAAGAGCAGTCAGGACTGTGTGCTAGCCTTGCCCAATGTGGCTCAGTGGTTAAAGCGTCAGCCTGCACATTGAAGGGCTGTGGGTTCGATTCTTGGTCAAGGGCACATACCTGGGCTGCAGGTTTGATCCCTGCCCCAGTGAGGGCGTGGGGGGAGGCAACCAACTGATGTGTCTTTCTGGTGTCAATGTTTCTCTCTCTCTCTCTCTCTCTCTCTCTCTCTCTCTCTCTCTCTCTCCCTCCCTCCCTCCCTCCCTCCCTCCCTCCCACACTCTCTAAAAATCAATGGAAAAATATCTTTGAGTGAGGATTCACAACAACAACAAAAAGAATGTGTGCTAGATTTCGGCTGCAAGTGATTGGATATTAGTTAGGAAGAGAAATACTGGAGGGGAACAGCTTTTAGAGGGAGATAAGCCAAGAGATCTGGATTAGACTTGTGATACTTGAGGTGCTCATTAGACATCAAGAAGAAATGTAAAATTGACAACTGAGTATAAAAGTTTGGTCTCAAAGGAGTGATCAGCACCAGAAATGTAGATGCGGGAATCAGGCTGAAAATGGCATTAACACCATGGCACTAGATTAGGTTTCCCAGGGCGAGAAAGTGGATACTTGAGGAAGGAGAATCAAGGACAAAGCCCTGGGTTCATCAACATTTTAGGGTCACACTAAAAGCTGCCAGCCTAGAAAACTAAGAGGCAAGATAAAAGCAATCGGAGGTGGTGTCCAGAAAGCCAAGAGACTAAAAGGTTTTGAGGAGAGAGAGGTCAGTTGGGTCAAATGCTGCTGAAAGAAAACTGGCGGTATGGAGCCCAGGGGCGGTCTTGGGAAGCACCGTTCAGCAGAGTGGTGGGAAGGAGTCTGATGTGCAGTGGAACGAAGACACAATGGGAGGTGGAAAATGTAGCACCGTCTACAATACATTCTTTCCAGAAATGTTGCTTTGAAGGAAAACAGAAAAATGGGAGATGGAAGTAAAGTGAGATCGATGGAGATTTTGCTTAAGATATGGGCTATTCGAGTAGCTTGCGTGCTGATGACCTGATCTGGTAAGAAGGAAGAACGTACATGAAAGGTGAGATGTGCAGGTGAGATGCAAGAACAAGATTCTTCAGATGGCTGGGAGTGGGGTGGGGTGGATAGGATCCAGAACACAAGGGGTGAGGGGGGACCTTTGATAGCAGCAGAGATACTCCCATAATGCAACAGGCAAAAAGGCAAAGCACCGTGCACATACCAGTAGAATGGCAGCCATGCTGGTGCCATGATGGGGTTCCTTGTGATCATTCTTGATTTTCTACATGAAGTATTCGAAGCGCAGCTGAGAGTGAATAGAAAATGAAGGTGATATAGAGGTTTGAGGGAAGAGGTGTGATAAGCTCATTTAGCAGAGTGGAAAATAAACATACCAGGGAGGAGAGAGAGGATTTCTGGGCAGTGCTGAGTACCCACTTGAGACTTGTGATCATGAATTTACAGTCAGGCCAGTCAGTGGAATTTTAAAGTGAGACCAGTGTACGCTATTTTTTTCCTAATAATATTCTGTTATTCTGGTGCAGAGCTAGAGACGTGTTTAAAAAAATTTTTTTTCTTTGATTTAGAGAAAGGGGAAGGGAGAAGGAGAGAGAGAGAGAAACATCGATGAGAGAACATTGATTGGCCGCCTCCTGCATACCCCACACTGGGGATTTGGCCCATAATCTGGGCATGTGTCCTAACTGGAAATTGAACCGGTGACCTCTTGGTGCATCGGTCAGTGCTCAGCCACTGAGTCACACCGGCCAGGCTAGAGATGGTTTCAACCAGAGCGGGGATTGTGCAGGTAAGGAAGACAGAGAAGCGCAAGGAAGTTACAGATGTATTGATAAGAACGGGCCATGCAAATGATGGTGAAAAAAGAAGAAAGTAAACATCCTGGGAGGTGAAAAAAGTGGTAGGGACACCACAGTGAAGCCTCATTAAATCAAAAAAGTGTTGGAAATCAAAAGACCCAGAAGGAGTGGACCGAGCGTGAGATGCTTGCAGTGGAGGTTTGGGAGTAGTAACATTATTAGAGACACCGAGGTCAAGAATATGACCACAAAAGGTGGGGGAAAGACCACTGACGGAGAGGAGGCATTAGACCTGAGTATTGCATGGGTCATTCATACGGATGGGGAAGTCCCTGAAAATAGTGACAAAAAAGAGGGTGGAGAGGAAATCAGGGGGTCTAAGTGAATGAGTGTGAGTGATCACCACACGCTGGCCATCAGAGGAGATCAGGGTCTAAGTGAAGGAGTGTGAGTGAGCACCACACGCTGACCATCAGAGGAGATCAGGGTCTAAGTGAAGGAGTGTGAGTGATCACCACACGCTGGCCATCAGAGGAGATCAGGGTCTAAGTGAACGAGTGTGAGTGATCACCACACGCTGGCCGTCAGAGGAGATCAGGGGTCTAGTGAATGAGTGTGAGTGATCACCACACGCTGGCCATCAGAGGAGATCAGGGTCTGAGTGAATGAGTGTGAGTGATCACCACACGCTGGCCATCAGAGGAGATCAGGGTCTAAGTGAAGGAGTGTGAGTGAGCACCACACGCTGGCCATCAGAGGAGATCAGGGTCTAGTGAAGGAGTGTGAGTGAGCACCACACGCTGGCCATCAGAGATCAGGGTCTAAGTGAAGGAGTGTGAGTGAGCACCACACGCTGGCCATCGGAGGAGATCAGGGTCTAAGTGAACGAGTGTGAGTGATCACCACACGCTGGCCATCAGGAAGTGTTAGAGGAGGTAAAGCCCGAGTCCAAAGGACCTGGGCATTTTAAAGGAGAAGACAAGAGTAATTATCACTAAGTAGCCCTACGGAGCAAGGATGACAGCCCTGCCCCGGGCTCTGTGACACATGACATGTGGAAGGGGGCTACAGGGGAAGAGTGCCAACTGGGACAGGCCAGCTTCCTCTCTGAGGTATGAAGGCGAAGGGGCCATTAGAGAAAAGACTGGTCATGTGGGAGTTTCTCATGACAGCACACAATTTGCACTGAGTGGATGGGGGTGGATGGAGAGGGACAGAAGTTTGGGTAAAATTAAAGAAAGTCAGAACAGTTTGTGGGTGAGGGTGACCATAGGTGACCTGGGAGGCATAGGTTTCCGGGTGACTGATAAACTAGGATGAGAGCGATGTGTTAGGAGTGTCCCAGAGGAGGAGGACGGGTAGTAAGTGCACAGGGGCTCCTGGGAGCCTGTCCCCACCATTAATTCCCAGCGGAAGGAAGGCCGCGGGACGACAAGCGCCTGGCATAGGAACCTAGGCAGCGGCAGCTCCACACTGCGGAGCCTCCTTCTGCTGAGTACAGGGGCAGCCAGCTGGGGACACGGTGGTTTCACCTGCAGAACAGGTCGCTGAAGCAATTTCTTTTCTCGAGACGTTGCGGTGGACTGGAGAGTGAGACCCCAACAAGCAGAAACTGTCCCTTCTCTCTGTGACTCTCACGGAGCAGGACTGAGCGGAGGAGTTAAGAGCAGCCTCTGTCTGGTGGCTCACAGAAGGGAGGCAGGTATAGATGTTCGGAGGCAGGTACAGATGTTCGGATACAGAGAAAGTGGAGGGGCCCTAGTCTGGCATCCTTAGAACAAACCAGAAAAGCAGGGAAGGAGCGGAGCGTCCATGAGCTGATACAGAGGGGAAAGAGCTACATTTCTAACTAAACCAATGCAGCACAAGCTGGCGCTCAGAGCCGACATCACTAAAAACCTGGAGGCCATTAGAAATGCCAAGAAATTTGGGCCAAGTCCGTTTGTCTTTCCCTATACCACGGCATAGTTTGAATCTATTACTTCACAGCAAGTCACGGTAGGGCAAGTTTTTGTTCTTTTTATTCTTCTTTAAACTTATGTTTGTCATTCACGTTGCTTCACTCTCCCATATGAATTCGGGGATTGGCTTGTCAATTTCCACAAACACACAAGATACTGCTTTAATTTTTCTTGGGATTGTCTTGAACTGATGGATGAATGTAGAGAGAACGAACATCTTTACAATAGTAGAAGTTCGTATTCATGAACATAAGTATTTTATTTATTTTAGTCATTTGTATGGCCTTTGTTAAACTGTCATAATTTCTGCATGACAGGCCTTGTAGCTCTTTAGGGTTTGTAGTTTGTTTGTTTTGTTTTGTTTCTTTCTAGATACCTTTTGGGGTTTGCTACTTTCTGAATAAACATTTTCTTAAATTAGAACTTCTTGTCTGTCTTTGGTGGGGTGGTTTTCACGAATTGTAATTATACCCTTCAGTTCTGTCAGACTCGGTGTTTGTTCTGATAGCTTTTCTGTTGATTCTATGGGAATTGTACGTGGATACACTATTATCCATGAGTAATAAAATTCTGTTCTTATTTTGAAAGTTTGTTTGTTTATTTATTTATTTATTTATTTATTTATTTATTTATTCTTCTACATTCATTGGTTTTGGGGAACGAGGAGGTCATCAAGGAGCTGGGAAAAACAACTAGAATAATACCCTTAGTGGCTGAAATGTGCAGGGATCCTATTCATACCATAGTAGTAATGGAAAAACACATACCTAATAACTAAACTAATGTTGTGATCCCTTAGAACTACAGTAGCTATTGATACGCGGCAGGAATACCCATGCACAGACAGCCAGATTAGAATCCCAGAGGATCATCTCCGGCAGGAAGCTGCGTTAGTGGAGGGCAGAGGATAAAGGAAATTAGGAAAGGCACTAAAGTCGCTATTAATATGGTGAAAGTCACAGAGGGAAAAAAGTAAATCACACTTTCAAGTAGCCAAAGTGCAGTGACAAAAGGTATATCCATTGGTATTTTTAGGAAATGTTTTTACGCTGTTATGACTATATATTTACCATGAACTGCCACTTAAACATCACTATTACAAAATTCAAAACACCACTTCCAACATTCAATAAAGCCGTTCACTTACCATCCAGCTTGGAATTCAAAAGTAAGCCAAGCAACGCTACATCGTTGGCACACGGGCATTTTGTTATTTTCATGCCCACCACATGTGGATACAATTTTCTGAGGTCCTTTTTTGTTATTAGAGTCCCGAGATTCCACTGAAGAATAGGTTCTGTGAAAATCAAGTTTAGGTGTTTACATTGAGGTAGCACTGTTGAAAATGGAACATTACTGCTCTCCTTTAAGGGTTTGAGGAACAATGTAAAGGAACTATTCCATTGCTCCAAAAATGGGAGTATTACCTCGCTCTCCATTCATTAAAAATAGGTCAATTCTTAATTTCCAGAGTGGGAAGAATGGAGTCTAATTGCCCTTGATGGGGACCTGGCAAGGTCACCCTACAGAAGAGCATGTGGGATGGAATACAGTGCCTTGGCCATCTGCGGAAAATATAACTGGCCACAGGATCTATCCCTACAAACTGAATTTCTGGATCACAGGATACGCATATTTATAACTTAGAGCACAACGCACAACTTCTGCTTCAAGAGCCCATACATTTATTTTTTTATCCTCTTCCCCTAGCCTCATCTAAATAGCAATAGACATATAAAGATGAGAATATCGCCCTGACCGGTTTGGCTCAGAGGTTAGAGCGTCAGTCCATGGACCAATGAGTCATGGGTTCAATTTCGGTCAAGGGCATGTACCTTGGTTGCGGTTTGTCCCCAGCCCTGGTCAGGTTGTGCAGGAGGCAGCCACTCAATGTGTCCCTTTCACATTGATGTTTCTTTCTCTCTTTCTCCCTCCCACTCTACCTGAACAACAACAAAACAAAACAAAAGAAAAAAATGTCCTCAGGTGAGGATTAAAAAAAAGAGAGAGAGAATAAATTCAGAATAGCAGTAGAGAACAGGAAAAGTTATCACTAATGGCCAAGACACTCAGAGGAATTTCTGAAAGATATAAAGAAGTTGGGGGTAGAACCAACACGAAAAGCGAGACAGAGGTAAGACATCTTCAACCCAGCAATCTATTCTTGGATATGCAAAGAGTTGGAGCTGGATAAAATCAAAACTTTTAAAAAATTTATCTTTATTGTTGAATGTATTACAGATGTTCCTCATTTTACCCCTATTGACCCCTCCTCCCTACTCCTGCCCCCCTCCTGCCTTTCCCCACACTGTTGTCTGTGTCCTTTGGTTATGCATATATACATATAAGTTCTTTGGTTTATCTCTTCCCACCCCCAACTCTCCCATTCCCTTTGAGATTTGTCAGTCTAACAACCAATTTGTACATCTTAGTCCCTTCACCTTTTTCACCCATTCCCCCAACGCCCCTCCTATCTGGCAACCAACAAAATGTTCTCTGTATCTATGAGAATGTTTCTGTTCTGCCTATTCATTTTGTTTGTAGTTTCAATTGTCGATAGATATGTATTCATTGCCATATTGTTTGTTCATATTTTTTATCTTTTTCTTCAAGAAGACCCTTCCACATTTCATATAATCATGGTTTAGTGGTGATGAACTCCTTTAGCTTTTCCTTGTCCGGAAAACTATGTGGCCATCGATTCTAAAGGACAGCTTTGCAGGATAGAGTAATCTTGATCGTAGGTTCTTGCTTTTCACTACTCTGAATATTTCTTTCCACTCCCTTCTGGCCTGCAAAGTTTCTTTTGAGAAATCAGCTGACAGCCTAATGGGAACTCCCTTGTAGGTAACTAACTGCTTTTCTCTTGCTGCTTTTAAGATTCTCTCTTTGTCTTGAACCTTTTGCATTTTGATGATGATGATGTGTCTTGGTGTGGGCCTCTTCGGGGTTCATCTTGTTTGGGACTCTCTGTGCTTCCTGGACTTGTATGTCTGTTTCCTTCACCAAGTTAGGGAAGTTTTCTGTCATTATTGTTTCAAATAGGTTTTTGATTTCTTGTTCTCGCTCTTCTCCTTCTGGCACCCCCAAGATGTGAACGCTTGAAGTTGTCCCAGAGGCTCCTTACACTATCCTCATTTTTTTGGATTCTTTTTTCTGTTTGCTGTTCTGATGGGGTGTTTTTTGCTTCCTTAGATTCCAAATGGATGGTTTGCTTCTTGGCTTTATTTACTCTACTACTGAATCTGTGTAAATTATTCTTTATTTCAGGTAGTGCCTCCTTCATGTCTGACTGTGCATCCTTCATTTCTGACTGCTCCTTTTTTATGCTCTTGAGGCCCTCACTAAGTTCACTGAGATCCTCACTAAGTTCATTGAGCATCCTTATAAGCAGTGTTTTGAACTCAGCATCTGTTAGGGTGCTTATCTCCATTTCACTTAGTTCTTTTCCTGGAGTTTTGTGCTGTTTTTTCATTTGGAACCTGTTACTTTGTCTCCTCACTTTGGCTGCCTCCCTGTGTTTGTTTCTGTGTATTACTTAACGAGAGGTATGGGGCTAGCTGAGACCAGATGCTGCTTGTTTGAAAGAATTTAGGAAAACCTGAAGCAGGATCCAAGACAGGCCAATCCTATGGTTAGGCAATTGGCAACGGCTTGGGTGGGCTTGAAAGTTGTGTGGGGCGGGGCCTCAGGGAGTCAGCAGGGCGGGGCTACCAGTGTGAGCCAGGTTGCTGGAATCCCAGACATGGCTGCTGTCTGCCACCCCAGGGAAGGGCTCACCAAAGGAACAAAGGCCTCTGACAGCACGTCTGTCCAGGAGAAAGCTGCCTCTCCAGTCCTCACCCCAATGCCAACATCTCAGTTCTTCCCCATATGTCTCTGGTGCCTTTCCAGCTCTCTCCCCAGTGTGGGAGCCTGGAGGGAGCAAGTCCAAAAGTCCATGCGCGGGCCCTTTAAGGAGCTGCCTGGGGCTCCAGCCGCCTCAGCCTTCCTGAGCCTCAGTTCCCGCTGGTTTTCCAGCCAGAAGTGATGGGGATTCTCTTCCTGGCACTGGAACCCTGAGCTGGGAGCCTGGTGTGGGACGGGGACCCCTCAGTCCTCAGGGAGGACCTTCCCAGCCGAGGTGTCCTCCTGATTTTTATCCTCTACACGTGGGTGTGGGACCAGCCCGTCCCCTCCGCCCTCCTACCAGTCTCGGTGTGGCTGCTGCTTTAATCCCGTAGTTGCAAGACTGCCATTCAGCTCGATGTCAGGCGGTTCTGAATGATGGTTGTTCTGTAGTTTAGTTGTAACTTTGATGTGGTTGTGGGAGGACGGATACCGTGTTTACCTCCCCGCCATCTTGACCGGAAGTGGATAAAATCAAATTTTAATGCATAAGAAAATGGGAAGATTTCTTTTCTTTTGTAAAAATGAGAAAAGAGGTACAAAAAGTAAGCCAGGGAAATTTGACAGAATACTGCTGTCTGAATTTCAAAAAAAAGTCAAAGGACTTTAAAGATGAGAGATATCAGGTCATCAATTCTCGAACTGTTTACATTTCTACAAAAAATCTCTCTATCCCCCCAAACTTCTCATAAAATCTCCTACAAAACCAAAGATGTATGTCATATATTTTTCACCATGTGTAAAGCCAGGAAAGAAGCTAGATTTCCATCTGGGTTGACATAGTGTAGGACGGCCAAGAAGGGAAAGAGACACGATTTATAACCAAACTAATCTACTCCAAAGTTAAAGAAATTTGGGACAAGGCAGCTGACTTTCCAGGGCGTTGCATGTGTGTTCAGGCAATTAATAACCAGATCTTAGAGGTCAGGGAGATTTAAGCTTGCGTCTGGGACATGATTGCTTTGAACTGAAAAATGCCTTTTGTGTACAAACACCTTAAAGTCAGGTACTATATTTTAGGCGTTTCAGGATGAGGGAGTGATTAAAAGTCTTGACTGCTACGGAGAAGCTAAATGAAGACAGAAAAGCAAGCAATATGAAGTGACTGGTGATTGTGATTTAAGAATAGTTTTAGTGGATCGGTCTGGGATGTGGATGGAAGATTAAGAAATGGAGATAACATATTTATTTTTATTAAAAAAATTTTTTTCTTTATTGATTTTAGAGAGAGAGGAAGGGAAAAGAAGAGAGTAATAGAAACATCAATGAGAGAGAACATCGACTGGCCACCTCCTACATGCTCCCCACTGGGGATCAGGCCCACAACCTGGGCACGTGCCCTGACCGGGAATCAAACCAACAACCTCTTGGTGCATGGGTCAATGCTCAACCACTGAACCACACCGGCCGGGCAGGAGACAACATTTTTATTTTTATTTTTTTCCACTTAGATACAAATTTTATTCTCTCCAAAAAGTAGTGGAGGCTTTGACCTGTGGGGCTTCCTTTGGGCAGAGGGCCTGCTGGGGCTGGGCCACCACCTAGGGCTGGATGTAGCAACGTGTGTGTCTGCCTGGCGTTGCATAGCAACGAGGCCAGGGCTGCAGCAATGTGCTGGCCGTCTGGCCTTCCCAGGAGGAAGGATGATGAGGGTGGGCTGGGGGTCTCCTGTGAGCACGAGGTGGCTGGGGGCATGGGGAGCTCAGGGGAACTCCTCACTCCCTCTGAGGGGCACCAGGGCGACAGCTGGTAGTATTGGGCTTTGAGGCAGGAGACAACATTTTTAAATGAGTTAGCAGTGAATAAATATTTCCAAATGTTACTGACCTGAACTTTGATTGCCATTTCCCAGTTTTCTCCCCATGTCTTCAGCGTATCAGTAAGTAATACCATCATCCGCTTGATTGCTCCAGTAAGAAGTCTAGGATCCATCATTCATACCTCTGTCTCCCTCACCCCCAAATTCATCAGGAAGTCGTATCAGCTCTCCAAAACACATTCTGACGATCCCTCCTTCTCACCACCTCCACTGCTAATCCCACAGCCCAGGGACTTGCAGACCGTCTCTGGAGTGGACTAGGCCAACAGCTGCCAGCCTTCCCCCAAGAGTCCGTTCTCTACACAGCAGCCAAAGTGATCTTTTGATAAAGCATAAGTCAGAATTTATCACTCCCTGGCTGAAAACACTCCAACAGCTTTTCCCCATAACTAGAATAAAATCCACACTTTTTACCATGATCTCTGCCAGCCTCTCCAAATTTATTACACACTACTCTGTCTGTCATTTACTGTGCGTCCACAACACTGGTCACCGCTCAGTCCCTCTGACAGACGAATCTTATTTCTGCATCTGGAACCTTTAAGACCTACGAATTTGTGAAGTTCTGTGCATTCTAAATAGGTGTGCATTGAAATTTTAACGCAGTGTGTGATATTCTGGGTACATTTCAATATGTAAATGATTCAGATTATAGATTATTTCAAAATGGAAATAACTTTATATTGTTATTTTAGTATTTAAAAGTAGCATTGGGCTCCAAAATATCTGAGTCTCGCAAACTTGCAATGACTATCAAGTAACTGACTATTTTTAAAAATTTCAGACACTACGAAAACATATGAGAGCACATTTTGTCATTCTTGTTTCAGATATGTTATTTTTGGTTAAAGAAATAAGACAATACAGATATGACTGAAGACACCTCCACCTTCAAATGCAACCACTATCATAAAATTGCTGTATATATTTCCAGCTCAGGCTGTTCTAGTTTTACTACAATGTACATGAACAACAGACAGTATTGCTTTATGCATTTTCTGAATTTTAGATAAATGCGTTCCTTCTCTATTCTTGGTTTTTCACTCATTGTTTTTGAGTTCTGTTCTTGATGATATTATATGGGTCTATTTGCTTCATTTTTAACAGAACACATATGTATTTGTCCTTTCCCCTACTGCTGTACATTTATGTTGTTTTCCATTTTTTCTCAATCCAAACAATGCTGCATTAAGTAGATTGGTATGTGTCTCTTGGTACCTAAGCAACTTTTTCTCTAGAGCAGTCCTGCACATCATAATCACCTGGGAAAATTTTTATTCTTGCCTGGCCCCACTTACTTTACTTAAAGCTACCCAGGTGGTCCTTTTGATAAAATATAATATTTATTTTTACTCTGCATAGTACCATATTACAGTGAGAGTGAGAGAACAAAAGTAAAAAGGAAGGTGAGGAAAGTGAAGATAAATACAATATCTAGGACTGAGGACTGAAAAAAATTTTATGTTGTAGTGCTATAGGAGATCCAAAAATTTAGCTAAGAATCAGACGACTGCAAAAAAGAAACCTAGTCTGTTGTTCATAACCCTAGACTAAAACAACCAATTTTTCATGAAAAAATAGAAATGTTCTTACTAAGATTGAACAAGAAATTTTGATGATGGTCTTCAGAAGGAAGACTGTGATGCAAGGAACAGTATCGTCTTGACATCCTTCTTTTTTTGTTTGTTTTGTTTACTGTTGACACTATTACAGATGTCCTCCATTTTCCTCCTCCTTGCCCCCTTCTTCCAAACTCTTCACCCCTGGCCTTCACCACATTGTTGTCTGTGTCCAAGGTGTAAAAATTACCTTTAGAAAGCCATTGTTTATTATAACCTGCAATGTGGCTAGAGAGAAAATATATTTCCATATTTCTATAGCACTCTGTAGACCCCTATTAACAATTACCCATGTGTATTTAATTCTTTGTCTACTTCATTAGGATTGTGAACCCCTCAAAGGTCATAATTAATCTCTTAATTACTTATCTCTAGTGCTTAGCACAGAGTTAGCCATATAGTAGGTTACAAGGTTTGTTGAAAGAATATTACAAATTCCATTTTACTTATAACTGCGGGCATTTACCTCGGACTCTATCCAATAGCGTTCCTTCAGTAGTATAAGTATTTAATCCATGTTGTAAAGTAATTCTTACTAGCCATTCTTCTACAGCTGCAACATCTGTTCGAAAACAAAAGGCAAATAATTAACTATTCTTTAGTATGTCATGTTGGTAAAATTTAAGACTGTATGAACATGACCAACAATGATTACCTTTCATTTTCCATTCTGATTGCATTTTTATGTTTTCCTACAAACGTTTTGATGATACAATAAAGAAAAATCATTTGGCCCGACTGGTATGGCTAAGTGGTTGAGCGTCAACCCACGCACCAAGAGGTCGCCAGTTCGATTCCCAGTCGGGGCACATGCCCAGGGTGTGGGCCGATCCCCAGTGGGGGGCATGCAGGAGGCGGCCAATCGATCTTCTCTTTCATCGATGTTTCTCTCTCTCTCTCCTTCTCCCTTCCCCTCTCTCTAAAATCAATTAAAAAATTGTTAAAAAAAAATTATTGTGGCCCTGGCCAGTTTTCTCAGTGGTTAGAGCTCTGGCCTGCGGTCCAGAGAGACCTGGGTTCGGTTCCCGCCAAGGGCACATACCTCAGCTGCAGTTTGTCCCTGGCCCTGGTTGGGTCGTGCGGGAGGCAGCCACTCAGTGTGTCCTTTTCATGTCGATGTCTCTCTCTCTCTCTCTCTCTCTCTCTCTCTCTCTCTTCCTCTCTCTCCCTCCCACTCTATATGATCAAAAAATGGGAAGGTGTCCTCGGATGAGGATTAAAAATAATAATAATTGTGAAGTGATCTACCACTAGAGGAATAAATCCAGATACTATTTTAGGTCACAATTTTTCCTCTGAGAGCTGTTGTAGCTTGGTAAAAAAGCAAATTATGCATGTTAGGTGAAGCGGTATAATATTATTTGAAAATAGACTGTGATTTATTAAAATATATAGTGTAAACTCTAGGGCTGACAATAAGAACATTTTAAAGCATCATATGCAAATAGTGGAGATAAAGTGGAATCAGAAAAAGTAAGTAGTATGAATGAAGACAGAAAAGGAAGAGAAAAGTAAAACAGAAAAGGGGACAAATAGAAAACAACCCAATGGTAGATTTTAGTACAACCATACCAACAATTACATTGAATGGAAATGGTCTGAAATACCAATTAAGAGTCAGATTTCCAGATTAGATGTAGAAATCAAGACTAAACAATATGCTCACTCTAAGAAACCCACTTTTAATATGAAAGATGAGCTAAAAGTATGGGTGGGATCTGGGGAAGCTACGGGTGGTGAGCTCAGCCTGGGAGTTGCTGCAGCAGTTGCGCCCACGGGTCAAGACAGGCCGAGGCTGAAACCAGGGAGCACCTGTGAAGAACATGCCTGACTCAAACAGCTCAGCTGCACAGGCTCTCATATCCCAGGCCTCTCGGTGGATCTATATCCCAGCAAGGACGCGGCTCTTCCAGGGACTGCGGAAGCACCTGGAACCCATGTTCATCAAGTGCTGTTTTTTTTTTTTATCCTCACCCGAGGACATTTTTCCATTTTTTGTACAGATAGAGTGGGAGGGAGAGAGAGGAAGAGAGAGAGAGAAACATCGACGTGTAAGGGACACATCGAGTGGCTGCCACCCTCACGACCAACCAGGGCCGGGGACAAACTGCAACCGAGGCACATGCCCTTAGCGGGAACCGAACCCCGGTCTCTCCGGACCGCAGGCCGATGCTCTAACCACTGAGCAAAACTGACCAGGGCGATCAAGTGCTATTTGTGCTCACTACTCTCTAGCAAGCAGTTACTGGACTTTGGGAGAGATAATAGTGTGAGAAACATCATATATGTTTCTACAAAAGGAGCTTCCTGCACAATTGGCTAATACAATGAGAGAAGTCAATCTTCTGACGGAGAACTAAACTGGCCTTCAATGGGACTGGATCAAAGTTGACATATGCATAATTGTCACAAACTTTTAAAACATAAAAATAATGGCCCTGAGTATCCACAGATCTTGGATAACTTTTTACAAGTCTTGATTAAAGTCAGAAATAGAAATAATAATGTGTTTCCTATAATGGTACATGGTATGACTGAATATAAGGAAAAGTATGGGTTTGATACTTTCATTGGGAGTAACATCCAACATGTTCTGGATTGGTTTTATACCCATGGCATCTGTTTCTACATGCTAAGTAACCAGCACACATATGTTTGGTGGTGACTCTTCCTAAACATATAGGAAGTATTAATATCACCGTTAAGGTGGCTAAAGTAGTAAAAAAAATGCATATGGAATTGCAAAGAGGCTGTGTGAACAGTGTTAGGTGGTAGATCCAGAGCTGAAAGTTGAAGAGTTCAATGCCAAAACTCCAGACAAATGTATATAGGTAGTTCATGTTCCCTCACATGTTCAAGAACTCAGAACACCAGAACTATATGACGAGTTATGAAAAATAGGGCTAGTTGGCTGTTAAAGCCCATGTTACTTTGGGGAAAGAAGACTTATCCATTAGATAAGTGACCAAGGTGATGGTGTCCCACTCTGAACAATAGTGCCATATTTATTCCAGTGCTTGAATGTTTAGTTTCTCTATACTAGTTGAACATTTTATGAAACTAAAGTAATCAAGACAGTGTGGTATTGGTAAAAAAAAAAAATATATATATATATATATATAGCTCAGAAATAGCAATTTAACAAAAACAAAAATGTTTGTAAAACAATGGTGCTGGAATAATTACATATCCATATTTCCCCCAAATTAATTTCAACCCATATAATGTACAAACATTAACTCAAATTGAGGCATCAACCTAAATACAAAACCAAGAACCACACATTTGGGTTAGGCAAAGATTTCTTAGCTCTGGTGCCAAAAGTACAATCCGTGACATTAAAACTGTTAAATTAGAATTCATCAAAATTAAAAACCCTGATATTCAAGAGACATTCTTAAGAGATGAAAAATACAATCCATAGACTGGCAGAAAATATTTGCAAATCATATACCTGACAAGGGACTTGTATCTAGAATATATAATAAACTTGAAAAAAATTTGAATAGGTAATTCACCAAATGGCAAATAAGTACAAAAGCTAGGCTGCCACATAACATTAACAGCAGATTCCACAGTAAAATAACAGATTACATATTACAGCTTATAACATTTTAAGGTTAATGTTTCAGTTTCAGTAAAATTATTTGGTACACAAGTTCCTCAATACTCTAATTTTCAAGTTCTAAAAAGTAGCCCTGGCCAGTTTGGCTCAGCGGTTAGAGCGTCAGCCTGCGGTCCGGAGAGACCCGGGTTCGGTTCCCGCTAAGGGCACGTACTTTGGTTGCAGTTTGTCCCCGGCCCTGGTTGGTCGTGTGGGTGGCAGCCACTCGATGTGTCCCTTTCACATCGATGTTTCTCTCTCTCTCTCTCCCTTCCTCTCTCTCCCTCCCACCCTATCTGTACAAAAAATGGAGAAATATCCTCGGGTGAGGATAAAAAAATAAAAATAAAAAATAAAAAAATAAAAAGTAAGTTTACTTTAAATAAAGAATAATATAAATGTTATATATGTCAGAACAACTGTAAAATATTTGTCAGATAAAATACAGAAACCTCAATTAAATTTAAAGTTTAGATTAACTGCAAATAATTTTTAGTATGACCCAAATACTGCATGAGACATTTACATGGGATAGCAAATAATTTTATAATATAATAAATATTTATATTTGTTAAACTTGGCAATCCAGACCCATGACTAAAATAATTACTTCAGATCACTCTTACCTGTGTTTTTTGTAATGTTTTCTCTGGGAATAACAATCAACCAGTAAACTCGATCACTGAACTTAAATAAAAAAGACATCAGAAAACAGTGTTTTACAATGTTAATAGCAACACTTACTTTGGCATATTAGACCCTATCATTTAAAAACAAAAATAAAACAAAAACATCCAATGCATATACCCTTTACCCAGTAATTTTATTCTTAGGAATTAATACTACATTACACTCATATATGTGTGTGAAATAAAATGTGTTTAAGAATATTCTTCATCATTATTTGTAATAATAGAAGAATGGAAATAGCTAAATTTTTCATAAGTTATGTATAATATTATAACCACAAAGTGGAATATCATACAGCCAAGCTCAGGTAGCACAAAGCTAAGGCATTGCGACCTTGATGTGTCAGAGGACAGAGCTTGGTGTTGACAGAGAATTTGGGAATTTAAGAGGAAAATTCCAGGAGCAAAAGAATTGCATGTGTGATCTAAAAGTTGAATATAAACTCTTCTCAAATCCTTGGGCAACACACGTGCAGATAAGACTCATAGAAGGCTATGTTAAAAAAAAAAAAAAATAGACCAGTGGAAGCTAAAGGAACTCACAGAGATATTAGCAGCTGAAACCATAGGAAAAATAGTTTGCAGTTTGTACCAAGGCAAATGATAGCCTTTTAGAGCACCACCAACAAAAACAACAGCAAATTCTCATAAGAACAACAGAATCCAGAGTTGCTATAGCTCATTACTTACAATGTCCAGTTTCCAACCAACAATGACAAGACATGAAAAGAAACAGGAATGCACAACTGATATTCAAAGGAAAAGGGAGACAATCAACTGATTCAGAGGGAGTCCAGGAAGCAAATGAAGACTTCAAAGCAGCTATGACAAGTATGTACATATATTTAAGAAAAATGTCCTACTGAAGGAATGGATAGGGAATCCTAGGACATAAATAAAAAATGTAGTAATAAAACCAAATGGAAAAAAAATAGGCTGAAAATTAAAATAACTGGAAAATATATTTACTAGATAAGTTCAATAACAGATTAGAGAGATGGCAAAAGAAAGAATATGTGAATTTAGAAATATAGCAATAGAAATAATCCAATCTGGAAAAAGAAGAAATGATAAAATTGAAATGAACAGAGACTTAGAAATCTGTGGGACAATATCACAAGTTCTAAAATGTGTATAATTAGAGTCCAAGGAGGAAAAGAGACAGAGAAAGAGGAAGACCATTTGTGGGGAGAAATAGTGAATGAAGACTTTATAAATTTGGTAAATTTATAATCCAACAAGCCCAGAGAAACCCAATTAGGATAATCTAAACAGATAATCTTTTTAAAAAAAATCTTTATTGTTGAAAGTATTTATCACAGATGTCCCTTCTTCCCCCCCCTCCCCAATTGACACCCTCCTTCCTGCTCCTGCATCCCCCTCCTGCCTTCACCACACTGTTGTCTGTGTCCATTGGTTATACATATATGCGTGTAAATTCTTTGATTTAGCTTTTCCTGCACAACACCCCCCTCCCCCTGAGGTTTGTCAGTCTGTTCCCTACTTCTGTGGAAAGAGACAATCTTAAAAACATCCAGAGAAAAATGACACATTATATATAGGGAAAAATAATAAAATTAACAGCTGGCTTCTCATTTAGAAACAATAGTGTCAGGTGACATACTTAAAATTCAGTGTGACATATTCAAAATGCTGAAAGGAAACAAGGTAAACCAGAAATTCTATATCTGACAAAATTATTATTCTAGAATTAAGCCGACCACTAAAAAACTATTAGAATTTATAAATGAGTACAGCAAGGTTGCAGTATACAAGATCAACATACAAGAATTAATTGTATTTAATATACATTTGCAAAAAACAATCTGGAACTGAGATTAAGAAACCAATTCCCTTTACAATAACATCAAAAACAATAAAATATTAGGGGTATATTTAACAAAAGAAGTACACCACTTAGACTCTGAAAATTACAAAACACTGTTGCAAGAAATTAAAGAAAATCTAAATAAATAGAAAGTATTCTATAGTCATGGTTTGGAAGACTTAATAATATTAAAATGGCAATATTCCCAAATTGATGTACACATACAACACAATCTTTATCAGAATTTCCGCTGGTTTCTATGTAAAAATTGACAAGCGTATCCTAAAATTCATATGAAGACTAGCGAAATTCATATGAAGACCAGTGAAATTCATATGAAGACTAGTGAAATTCATATGAAGACTAGTGAAATTCATATGAAGACTAGCAAAATTCATATGAAGACCAGTGAAAACAATCTTGCAAAAGAACAAGCTGTAGGACTCATTCTTCTGATTTCAAAACTCACCACAGAGCAACAGTATCAAGGTAACATAGTCCTGGCTTAAATACAGATGTATAGAGCAATGCAGTATAATTGAGAATCCAGAAATAAACCCTTATATTTACAGTCAATTGATTTTCAGCAAAGGTGCCAAAACAATTCAGTAGAAAAAGAATAATAGTATTTTCAAAAATGGTGCTAGGTCTGTTGGCTATACACATGCAAAAGGATGATGGGGACCCTGACCTCACACTACACACACAAAAAATGAGCTCAAAATGAATCAATAACCTAAATGTAAAAGGTGAAACTAGGAACTTTTCAGAAGAAAACACAGGGGTTGCACACTCCATGAATATACTAAAAATAATTTAATTGTACACTTTAAGTGGTGAATATTTATATATGTCTTAATAAAGTCGTTATCAAGAAAAAAAATGAAGGTGAAATAAAGACATTTTCAAGGGGAAAAAAAATCCCAGAGAATGGTTGCCCTCAGACCTGCACAGTAAGAAATGCTAAAAGAACTTCTTCAAGCTAAAAGGATGTGACACTGGATGGCAATATATAGCTACAGAAAAGAATGAAGAGCAGTGGAAATAGTAAACATGTAGGCAAATAGTAAACAACCATATGTATTTTTTCTTTTCTTCTCTTAATTTCTTTTAAAAAAATACACGACTATTTAAAGCAAAAAGTATAACACTGTATTGTTGAGTTTAAAACATATATATGTAATATTACTGGACTAGCTATTTTTAAAAAACACATCATACAAAGAAGAGCATGCTTCCTGTTAATAACCTATTACAGAATAAAATGAAATGTAATTACCAAAGTTAAATTGAAGTGGAAGATGCCGGTATATGTACTGTTTATGATTCCCAAGCTGGGAGCAAGTCCTCTGGAGGTGAACACATTTAGAAATTCCTTTGAAGTAAACTCGCTGTCAGATTGAAAAAAACACCGGATTTTCTTTGGGAAGGAGGGAAAACAAACAAACAAGTAATGGCAATTCAATGGAGAAAGGTAAATTACATTAATTTAAAAGTGAGAAGAAATCTATGAAAAGTAGATGCTGCTAAAGACTGATATTTTTAGCAATTCTTGTGTCTAAGAAAAGAGTCTGTTTTGAAAAATATACTTTCAGAACTCGGTAACCTATTATGCTAGTGTCACAAGAGGTTTTATTAATCCTTATGCTAATCCACTCTGTCAGAGAAATGATCATAAAATTATTACCCCTAATAAACATAGAATCAAAGCCATATGCTATCACATGTAGAAACCCCTATTTTACTAAAATCATTATATTGTGTCTAAATAAAAAAGAAGCAAACATATAAAGCAAAACTCAATTTACTGCATTTTATGGGATATTTTCCAGTTGTAAGAAGGCATAAGAAACTGTAGCAATCACAAATGGTGATGGATACTAAGACGAGGATCAGAGAGTTTAAGTACACTGCCCCAGGGCACACGAACATTCCGGAAAGACCCAGGCTCACCCAGCTCTGCAGGTCTCTCTTCCTCTAAAGCCTTCTTTCCCCATCATACATAATCACAAATAGGAAAGGCATTTTTTTTATTCAAAGGGCATGCGCTTCACAATAATTGTAAAAACGAACAAACAAACAAATAAATGATTGGTGTATCAATAAGGGACTGGGAACTAAGTCAAAGCAGACTTTGGGCTAAATGTATCTGTCTTTGTGGGGCGTTTTTCTTTGTCTTATAATTATCATAGATTTTTAAACAAAATGTGCATTATTTATTAACTTATGCTTTTGTTAGCATCTGTTGTATGGATATTTTGTTGTTGTTGATAATCCTCACCCGAGGACATTTTCCCATTGATTTTTAGAGAGAGTGGAAGGGAGGGAAGGAGGCAGACAGAAACATTGGTGTGAGAGAGACATGGATTGGTTGCCTGCCTCCATGTGACCCCAACTGGGGCCACCACCGCGACTGGGGCTGAGGATCAAACCTGCTACCCAGGTACGTGCCCTTGACTGGGAATTGAACCCCTGACCCTTCAGTCCATGGGCCCATGCTAACCACTGAGCCAAACCAGCCAGGGCTGCATGGCTATCTTAATTGTATGTTTTATTTTACTTTGGTTGTGTGTATTAAATCTTCTATTATTTGAGTCAAAGGGATTAAATCATCCTTTATCCAAAACGACAATTGCAATATAGTACTTGTTATGAAAAGGGGAGGTTATTTCTCAACGTCAGTGAGATACCTATCTTTGTTTACCAGGCTAAATCTGTCAAGCTTCAAAAGTACAAATCACATCCATAAAAAAATGAACATCATTACTGCTGATCTTTTAAGAAAGGGAAGAAGGAGGCATTAAAAAAAAAGCAAACCACCCAGGGAATTCAATGGCTAAATGAAATATTTTACATAATCCAAGTGGAATAGATTAGAAAGAATTACTATTTAGCCCTGGCAGGTTTGGCTCAGCGGTTAGAGCGTCGGCCTGCAGTCCTGAGAGACCCGGGTTCGGTTCCCGCTAAGGGCATGTACCTCGGTTGCAGTTTGTCCCCGGCCCTGGTCGGTTGTGTGGGTGGCAGCCACTCGATGTGTTCCTTTCACATCGATGTTTCTCTCTCTCTCTCTGTTCCTCTCTCTCCCTCCCACTCTACCTGAACAAAAAATGGAAAAATGTCCTCGGGTGAGGATAAAAAAAAAAAAAAAGAAAAAAAGAATTACTATTTATATGGAATTTTACCTCCCCAAGTCTGAAACAGTAGAAGGTATTAGAAGAATTCAGTGCTGCTGGTTTGAGACATGGAGTTAAAAGGAACGTGAAAGGTTGCAACATGCAGTTGTGTGGACCTTACCAAGTCATCTGAGAAAAGATACAACTTGATTATTTCATTCTTTTTGGGGAAACCTTGGCTAGCACAAGCAAAGTGTCTCTCCATATCCCCTATACAATATAAAAAAATATATCGTAGGTTACTGATAGAAAAACTTCCATTAAAAATCATATTCGCAAACTGACAAAATATTTAAAAATTAATAATTATTATAATTGTATGCTTTAAATTCATATACCTCTAGATAAAATTCAAATGTTCTACCATTTTTCATTTTAAAGATACAAAATTAGGACAGTAAAAAGGAAGCTTTGACTGAACACTAAAATGAAATCTACCACATAGTAGGCCACAGTGCAAATTGTTCAGAGATGATAAAAAAACAGTCCTTGACTCTTATACTTTTCAACCTTGGTAAGCCTATAGAAGGGACTTCTATAGAAGGGACAGGAGTTAGAGATTGAAAGACAACTTATGTTTCAATAGAGAGCTATTAGTATGAAGGTGACTCGTCTCCCACAAAGGGGAGTGAGTGGGAGAAAGAGCCGTTTCTCCTTATCTGGATCAAAAGTAAATTTCTTGATCACAGCATAGAGTTGAATCAGGTGGGTTTTTATCCATAGTGCCAATTTCTGTCTTTTGATTGAAGAATTTAATTCACTTACATTTGAAATAATTACTGACAGAGAGACTTTAGTCATTTTGCTATTAGTTTTCCAGATGCCTTATAACATTTTACCCTCATTTCCTGCATTACTGTCTTCTTTTATAGTGAGTTGATTTTCTTCTAGTGAACCATTTAAATTCCTTTCTAATTTCCTTTGTATATGTTCTATAGCTATTTTCTTTGTGGTTTCCATGGGGATTACATTTAATATCCTGAAGGTAAACACTCTAATTTGAAGACATAGCAGCTTAGCGCCAATACCATACAACTACTCCTTTCTAGTTCCATCCACTTCTTTCAGTTGCTGATGTCACAAAATTACATCTTTATACATTGTGTGCCCCAAAACATAAACCAATAGTTTTTTTAATGCATTTATCTCTTAAATTATGTAGAAAACAAGATCTAGAGTTACAAACCAAACTTACAATAATACTAGATTTACACTAATAATTTAAAAAACAACATATTTCTTTCTTTTTTTTTTTAATCCTCACCTGAGGACATTTTTGCATTCATCCTCAGATAGAGCGGGAGGGAGGGAGGAAGAGAGAGAGAGAAACATCGATGTGAGAGAGACACATCGAGTGGCTGCCACCCACACAACCCCAACGAGGGCCGGGGACAAACTGCAATCGAGGTATGTGTTCTTAGTGGGAACTGAACCCGGGTCTCTCTAGTCTGCGGGCCAAGGCTCTAACCACTGAGCAACCGGCTAGGGCAACAACATATTTCTCAAATCATGTAAAAAATGGAGCTATAATGCATTGTTATAATAACGCTAGCTTTTATGATTTCCCATGTATTTACCTTTATTGAGATCTTTATTTTTCTATATGCCTTCAAGTTACTGTCTAGTGTCCTAACATTTCACTCTGTAGGATGCCCTTGAGAATTTCTTGCAGGGCAAATCCCTTAGCTTTTGTTTATCTGAGAATGTCTTTATTTCTCCCTTATTTGTGAAGAGCAGTTATCCCAGATATAAAACTCTTGGTTGACAAGTTTTCTTTTTTAGCATTCTGAATATATTGGTCCACTGCCTTCTGGTTTCCAAAGTTTCTGATGAGAAATTTACTACTATCTTATTGAGAAGCCTTTGTATTTAATTATTGGTTCTCTCTTGCTTCTTTCAAGAGTCTCTATCTTTGGTGAATATCTGTGAGTTCATCTTCCTTGGAGTTTGTTGAGTTCCTGAATATTTACAGTCACTCCTTTTGTCAAATTTGGGAAGTTTACAGCAATTTTATCTTTAAATATTCTCTCTGCCCCTTTCTCTCTCTCCTATCCTTCTGCTGTTCCCACAATGTGTATGTTGGTCCCTTTGATGGTGTTCTACATGTCCCTTACTCTTTTGGCTTTCCTTCAATCCTTTTTCATTCTGTTTCTCAACCTCAGTAATTTCCTTTGTCCTATCTTCAAATTCACTGATTCCTTATTCTACACGATCAAATCTGTCTTTGAATCTCTTTAGTGATTTTTTATTTCAGTTATTGTACTTTTTAGCTCCTGTGTTTCTTTATAGGTTTTATATATCATTATTAATATTTGTATTTTGTTCATACGTTGCTTTGTTAACTTTCTCCACATCTTTCATTAGTTTCTTTGAACATCTTTAAGGTGGTTACTTTAAAGTCATTGTCTAGTAGATCTGCTATCCGATCTTTTTCAGGGAAAGTTTCAGTTGACTTTTTTTCCCCTTTTGAATGAGCCATGTGTTCCTGTTTCTTTGTATACCTTGTGATTTTTGTTGTTGTTTTTGTTGAAAACTAAACATTTGAATCTAATAATGTGGTTATTCTAGAAATCAGATTCTCCCCATTCCCCAGGGTTTGCTTTTTTAATGATCTATTTATTGATAGCGTTTATATTGTTTTTGTAGGCTGTCTCTGAATATAGGATCAGCCTGAGGTGTAAACTTAAGGTCTTCTCAGGTCTTTTCTCATCCAGCATGTTTCCCTGGGCATGTGCAGTGACCTTCTAATTTGCCTCCATATATCCAGTTGTTTTTAATGTTCTCGTCCTTAATGTCTGACTCCCAGAACGGGGAAAAAGTGAAAAATAGAGGAGGGTGGGAAAAGGATGCTGGCCCTTTAAGTTCCCTGAAAATCATTTCAGCAGAGTGAGAGGTTCTGGCAACGACAGGGGCAGGGTGGTGGTGGCGGCAGTCGTAGCAGCTGACAACATAGCTGCCTACCTCTTTGTCTGCACCTCTCTGATCAGAAGCAGCAATCAGAGCACATAATCCCAATGTTTGAAAGACAATTGTTTTTGCCCACCCTGGCTTCTGCAAGCTGTATGCAACTGCTCCAGAAACATGGGCACAGCTGCCTACCATGGGCGTAAGGGTGGAGGTTGGGTAGCTGCTACTGTGATGAGTTAATAATGACTAAAATTAACTACAATTTACTGTCCAAGCCTTCCCCTGGAAGTAACAAGCCTTCAGTAGATTTCAGGGTTCCAAAACAGTTACATCACACAGAATCTGCTTGTGCAATTATTATCTAGGTGGGGCGATAGATTCCTGGTGCTTCCTACTCTGCTATCTTTCCAGAATCCTCTATTCCCTCTCCTTATCTTGAGTCTGAGAAAAGAGATTTTGATGGGATCACACAACAACATAACATGTATTCCTTTAATTATGGGTATAAATTCAGACTCCTGCTCGGAAAAAGACATGAGATTATTTAGTGGAGAAGATGGGATATGGTTTTATGGGAAGGAGGTGGCTATGTTGGGAGCCCATAACCCACATTTTCTGGGGCAAAAGATACCTGAATGCTTCCCGTGGGCCACTTGTGAGAAATAACTAGCACTGGGTCATCTAGGGTCCTGTCTTCCAAGGTCTCTCTAAGTGGCAACTGGGTCTTAATAGGAAGAACTTGAAGGTGCAGCTGGATTTTTAGGAGCAGGCAAAGGAGTCAATGACCAGTCCAAATAGAAAAGCCTTAGCCCTCGTCAGAACTGTAGATAAAACATTCCCAGTAGTTTAATGAAAGGACAGGAACTCTGAGCGACTTGGGAAAGTGCCCAGAGGTTGAGGGTCAACGTTATGTATCTGCTGGATCCAGAGAAGGCTAATGTCAGAGGGTCACCTTAGAATCTGTTAGGTAAAAACTGCCACTCTACCTTCTCCCTCGCTGCCTACACCCCTGCAGCAGCAAGGGTCAAAACTCCAAGTTAGCAAGTTGGTGGGAAGGAACCTAAACTCCAGGTGGAGGAAAGGGAAAGAGACATTCACTCTTCTCCCCTAATTACAGGCTTCTACCTAAACAAATCCAATCAGGAGAAAGGGAAGAAGCTTCCATTATAAAACAAGGGTCCAGTTATGATTGTTACAAGAGCATAGGTATTTTAATTATAATGCAAAGCTGTGTTTTATAGTTTGAAATCTATGGGAAACTGTTCAAATCACCTCATCGTAACAAAAACAAAACAAAACAAAACAAAACAAAAAATCAAGGGGCCTGTACAAGTATTAATCCAAGGACAGAGGAGGAAGTGAAAGTAAGTTTCCTTTATGATTGCTCGTTACTCATTGTACAATGTAACAGTTTCATTGCTACTCTGCAAATCCTAGAAGAAAACATATCAATGCGAGCATCACAGATATGGCTGAAAGTACATTTCGAGGCTACAATGTTAAACAGTGTTCAAAGTCACCCCATATGTTTACTTTGCCCACACGGGACAATGCTGCCAGGTCTGTTTTTAAAGCTTTAACGTGACTCTAAAGTCCAATCACTTCTCTGCTTATAAAATCTTTACTGAGCCCTGGCCAGTGTGGCTCACCGTTTACAGCATCAGCCGGCAACCCTAAGGGTCATGGGTTTGATTCCCAGTCAAGCGCATGTACCTGGGTTGCAGGTTCAGTCCTCAGCCCCAGTAGGGGCACATGTGAGAGGCAACCAATCTATGTGTCTCTGTCTCTCTCTCTCTCCTTCCCTTCCACTCTCTTTAAAAAAAAAATCAATGGAAAAATATCCTCAGGTGAGGATTAGCAACAACAGTAAAGTGTTTACGGACACTTCATTGTCTAATGAATAAACTCCTTAAAGGAAGAGTAACATACTTCGAGCCAGACCCTGGGTTTACATGTCATCTTCTGCCATATGTATTATTGTCTCCTCTTTAAAGAATATCAAACCGACATGGGAAGATTAAGCTATAGCTCAAAGGTTGCCCAACTCACAACAGTAGGTCAGAGTGGAACCAAGATGTTGCTTTGTCAAGGGCCATTCTCTCTTTATCCTGTTAGACAATGTTAAATGACCAATTCCCTCTTTCAAACCCTGCTGCTCACGACCTACATTCTAGCACTCCAGAAGTGGGGCTCTCTCTATTTCCATTCTCTCCCTCAGATTTTACCACATTTTAAGATCTTGTTCAAATAGTATTTTTTATTTGATTCTTTTTTTTTTAGAGAGAAAGAGGAAGGGAGAGATAGAAACACTGATGCAAGAGAAACATCGATCGGCTGCCTCCTGCACGCCCCCTACTGGGGATCGAGCCCACAACCTGGGCATGTGCCCTGACTGGGAATTGAACTGGGACCTCTCAGTCCATGGGATGATGCTCAATCCACTGAGCCACACTGGCCGGGCTCAAATGGTAGTTTTGATTCACCTTTGGGAATCTGTAGATGCAGGGTGTGGGGCCAACTGCATGCATTCTTCTAAACCATTTCATAGAAGGGACTTGAGCATCTGCAAATTTTGGTATCCATGAACCAATTCCCTGCAAATATCGAGGGATCTTGTAGTTAAATTTGGCGGGGAGTCAAAAGTTATGCACAGATTTTCAACTGCACATGGGGTCAGCGCCCCTAATGGCCACATTGTTCAAAGTTCACTGTATTTCAGAAATTTTTTTCAATCTTAACCTACTACCCTTATAATTCAGTTTTTAATTTATGCTACAAGCAACTATTCATGGAGGGAAAATATAAAAGATCTATTCAAGTAAAGCTTTGCAAATATAAATTCCTTAAATTTTAAAGAGTATGACTTCTAAGTAATGAGATACTATAACAAAATAAAAGTCTTTATGTACACAACATAACAATAGATGTAGTGATACTGGAAAGCTCTGAACCAGAGTATAATGGATAATACCTCAGAACCCTGGAAGATATGCTAATGAAGAAGTACTGAAAGAAAAACATTTTAACTGTTAGCGAGGAAGGGAAATAAAGGAGAACTCCTGATAAGAAAACAGAGAGTATGAGAGTCTAAAACTTACCTTTATTATTATATATGATTCCCAATGAAAAATCAAACATGTTCAAAAGTAAAACTATAACATAGAAAAGTAGCAATGCCATCTGTTGGAAGAAATAAAAATGATCTCCATTTGGTAACTTTGAACATATTTTTGAGTTCCTTTGCTATAAACAACCATAGTTAAGAAACATCTCTTCCCTTAAGTTAGAAATATTTCTCATTAAGTGACAAAAGTAGATAACGTAATAGTTGACTAAGCTCTACATTTACTTCCTAACAGGTATTAAAGATATTTTACAAATATAATGATTGCAGACTGAAGAGGTATGGCACCGGTTTGTCTTCAATGCAGACAACTTCTGGAGAGGGGTGATCAAGTCTATAGCTGTGTAAAAACAGAACCCAACTTAATCAGGACTGAGGACAGTATAGCTATACCTTAATCCGAGATTCTGACTGCAGTGTGTGTAGGACAGACTATCCACGGGGATCCCGAACACCCCTGCACCTTCTGGCTGTGTGCCAAAATGCAAGGCCTTGACTGCTCTTTACCCAGCCTTTTCTGAGTTGTGTTTGTAGTGAGAAGTCTTGAGGGATGAGGTTGTCTTGCCTAGATAAGAGCAGGTTGGTTTCCATGGCGAATCTCCCAAGTCCAGTGTTCCTCTCCTGTAATGCACCCACTGTGTGTGTAAGCACCTGTTACGGGCTGAATTGTGCCCCTTCAAAAATTCATACTGCAGTCCTAAACCCCAGTCCCTGAGAATGTGGTTGTACTGGGTGAAAAGGTCGTTCTAGACATGATTCAGTTAAAATGAGGTCATTAGGGTGGTCCCTAATCCAACAGGACTGGTGTTTTTATAAGGGGAAATTTGGAAACGTACTCAGACACCGGGAAGACAATGTGAAGACACAGAGGGAGAGGGGAGCATTTACAAGCCAAGGAGAGCAGCCCAGACAGCCCGGCCCCCAGGGCCCCCAGAAGGAACCAACCCTGCCAACACCTCGATCTCAGGCTGGGAGCCTGCCGGACTGTGAGATCATAGATTTCTGGTGTTGAAGCCCACCTAGTCTGTGGTATTCTTCTCAGGAGCCCTGGTAAATTAATGCAGCATCCATAATATATATCTACTCCACGGGCCTCAGGGTGTGGGGAACGGGAGTGAGCATCATGCCGGTCCCTGGCCACTGCTTTTGCTGTGAGTGATGAAGACCTTGTCTCTGATGGAGGCGTCTTCCTGGGCCAGCATCCGAGAAACAGTAACAAACTGACTTCACCAGCCACAGGGAGAGTGAAATCCAGATTGCGTGCGGCTCCTGACCGCGCTGAGCAAATTCAGTTCGACTGATGTTTTCTCCTCCCTCCAAAGTGACGTGCTTGATTCATTTAACTGACAAAGCTCAAACATTTGTTGGATTTTTAAATTCACCACCCTTATCACATAGGGGAGAATTCTTTTAAAGTGCATTTGTTTAGACATCTGAGAAAATTTATTTTCACGAGGTAAGAGGAAATAAATGGTTCGTCAGAATTGTATCAGCATGGCGCTATGCTTAATTATATTTTGAGTGTAAGAATTAATTTAACATTAAATGAAGAGGTTACTACAGTCAAACTTTGAAAGTAATGCCCTTACCAGGAAAATCTCGTATTATTGTGCTAAGCATTCAGTTCAGTGATACCATACCATCAAAACCTGCCAGGACTCTGCCCACCGGGAAAACGGACTGAAATGTATTATGTTCCAGGGCCCCGGTGTGGATGACCTGTGACCTGTCATTAAGTTGTCTTCAAAGCTGTTCCACTTCAGTGCTCTGAAACCAGAGATCTCTGAAACACAGCTTTGCATGAATTTGGTGGTACCTATCTTTGCCCAAAGAACAAAAAACTTACTTTGAAAAGTTTTTTAATGCTTTCATTAAAGAAAGGAACCCCGAGAGGATGTAACTTAAGGGAGAGACGACTGAGGAGCAATTTTTGGGCTCCTTATGGCTTTTTTACCAGCTTCATGTCCCCTTATTCTAGCAATTCATCATATACATACTTACATACATATATATAATTTAGAGATGGAATGTACTTTAGAATTGATATATGAGGCATAAAATAACATGTTCAAAATATGTTATAGCTAGCGACAAAGTTGGCTTAGAACCAATGTCTCCAGTTCAGTAGATCTAGTCAGCATACAAAGATGCCACAAAATTAAAAAAAATTTTAAGTGAAGATATAAAGTACATGATTAGATTTGAACTCTCACCCAAACCACTAAATTCATCCCCCATAATTTTGCTCAATACATACACTAATCTCATTCTTTGATATTACAGATTTTCTCAGTTTGGTACTATCTTCTTTCTTTTTCTTTTTAAATATAATCCTCACCCGGGGACATTTTTGCATTTATCTTCAGATAGAGTGGGAGGGAGAGAGGGAAGAAAGGAGAGAGAGAAATATCAACATGAGAGAGACACATCGAGTGGTTGCCACCCACACGACCCTAACAGGGGCTGGTAACCAACTGCAGCCGAGGTACGTGCCCTTAGAGGGAACCGAACCCGGGTCTCTCCGGTCTGTGGGCCGATGCTCTAACCGCTCAGCCAAACCAGCCAGGGTGGTACCATCTCCTTTCAATAATCATCTCATGGTAGAGAAAAGGCACAGAGGTTGGTCTCAACGAGCTCTGCCCAGTGAGATGCTTGGTCTTTGGAAGGTCACTTAACTTCTACAAGCTCATTTCCTTCCTTCCTTCCTTCCTTCCTTCCTTCCTTCCTTCCTTCCTTCCTTCCTTCCTTCCTTCCTTCCTTCCTTCCTTCCTTTTTTACAAGCTCATTTTCTATTCAGTAAAATAGGGTAACACTTCACAGGCTTATTGGGAGAATTAAATGAATAATATATTTAAAACATCTAATAGCTACTTTATACTGAATAAGCACTTAATAAATACTAGTTTGGAATCTCTTTTTCCCATCACACGCCCCTCCTCCCCTCTTAGCAGTTAAATTATGCCTCCATTATCATTCCCATTTTATTATTATGAGTTTTACATAATTGTCAGATATGAGTCACATATCTGGGCATTTTTTCTTCTCTGGCAACAAGTAAATATTGGGAAAGGCCCCCAAAGAAGAAACCTACTCCTCCACCACCTGGTTCATTTGCAGTTACTCCATTATCGCGGAATAGTTATACTCTGTAAATTAGCACTGCAGTGGGTCCTTATTTCTTACTGTAATTCCCTCCTCATGGGATGCCCGACTGGTTGCGCTTTTATATTTTGTCCCAAGCTTTCCTCAACATAGGCTGAGAAAGAATACCCGAAATCAGGAGCTGAGCTTTCGGTTTACCGGTTTAGTAGTTCACTTAACTTTGGTAACAGCCAATCAGCTGCTACCCAGTACAGAAGCTGCTCAGAAAATCTAAAGGACAGGCAGTTGGAATTTCCAACTAACTGCCTCTTTCAGAGGCCCAAAGGTCATTTTCTTGAAAAAATGTACAAGAAGTGGAGTTGCTCAGAACCTACCGTCTTTAATACAACATCCAGTTCAAAAGTCTGAGACATCGTCACGGGAGTATTGAATGCCTAAAGAAACAGAACCGTTTCAAGATCATGCCAACTACGTACAATGAGATTTAAGAGAAGACACTCTGTCAGGGAGAGCTTCATAACTGGGCCTTGTAGGACGAGTGGGGCTTAAATAGAGAAGACCTTAATGATAGAGTAAACGAGATAAACAAACACACCAAGCACGAAGATAGGAATGAGCTGGGTATGCATAGGAATCAGTAAGGCCAATGAAATGCTCATCTGTTCCCCAGATTCATCATGTGGACATCCACTGTGGGGCTGATTATGTCCACTCAGGCTGCCTATGCCTAGTGAGCCAAGACTAAACCTTTGTAACTCACGCAGTTCCCAGACCAGTCATGAATGGTCACAGAGGCTAACAGATAATTGTTTAGATGATGATAATAAAACCTGTTTCACCCTCATGTTCTCCTTCAGAAGTCCCTTCACGCGGCCACGTAGAACCTGCTTTACACTCATGTCGTGAAAGATTGCTGGGTCTGGGTTTCACCTATTCCTGGAAGAGCCTGTGGAAGAAGTACCTTCCGCTCACCTTTCCTGGTGACCTTGACCTAAAGAAGAAAGTTATTCCTCAATCTGAACTAACGTGACGAACTCAACAAAATCTCTCTCCTACTAAAGGCTCATTTCCCAGAAACCTGGGCTCTCTCTTTCGATGCCGGCTTCCCACTAGGGAAGGTGACCAAGCTGTAGTCGTCAGCCTCTGCAGCAACACTGTGATAAGCGGTTTCCCCACACAGCGCCAACACAGAGGTGTCTGCACAGCGGTGAAGGTACACACTGACGGCCTACGCAGTGTCTGGCCCATACAACTGGGGATCGCGAATTAATGTCCCATGCTCATTCGTAGGAAGTTACTTGAGGGTGTACTCAGGCACAAGGAAAGACACGGGTCCAGAAAGACTGGAGTCCATTGGGAGAAGAGTGCACGGGGAGTGTGGGAAGACACGTGGGCAGCAAGCCTGGAGGGCACGCAGGCCACACTGCAAAGGGGGACACAGGGCTCCTGCTGGGGGACAAAGGAAAGACAGAAACCCCATGCCATGTGCAGTATGACTGAGAAGACAGGGAAACCTGAAGAGGCACATGATTCTCGTGTCAACAAGAGAAAATGAAAGGGGGTAAGAAACTCTGGGAAAAACAGAATGCTCTCTAATGACAGATGGCACTTCTGAAGAAGAGGGTGCTTTACTTTTCTATCGAAGTTATGTATGTGCAGTTAAAAGAGCCGTGTTGCACAAGACAGCAATTCTGTGCGTGTTTCGCCTCTTTTTCCCTCCCCAGAGACAATCACTTTCAGTCTTTTGCTGTTGCTTCGTCTCAGTTTTCGGCACTGTCTGTTGCTGTCCCCTACGCAGGAGAGGGCTTAGGTCCCTTTGCCTCCACTCTCTCCCACTCACTCCTCCCGTTCCTCTGCCACGCACTGTCTTTCAGGCCGTTTTTGGTCTAATTTCCTTTCAGTTCCCATTTTCCATCCCTTTGTTGCTTGGTTTAATTTCCTAAGAGTTTTCTGAATTTTGTTTCCCAAGCCCCCTATATTAATTTTTATAATTTCTATACTTTTACTTTCTAATAGTTCTGTTTTATTCTCAGAACTTCTTATAGATTCTATTCTTGTTTCATTTATGTAACAGTCTTCCTTTTCTGAGACTACTAATGATAGGGTGGGTTTAAAAAAAAGATCTCCTTGCTTAGTGTTTGATTCATCCAAGTAAGTTTCCCTTTTCATTTTTTTCGGGTCTCAGTCGTGCCCCAGTTGAGCCTCCAGGAGAAAACCAGCCCAGCCAAGACCTTGATTGCAGCCCTGTGAGATTCTGAACAAAGAATCAGGAGCCTGGACTCCTGTCCCATAGAAACAGCAAGACAACAAATGTGTAATGTTGTAGGCCACAGAGTCTGTGGTATTTGTTACACGGCACTGGAGAACGAGTACAGATCACAACAATGATTTCACTGAACTGCAAACAGAGACTACTGCCCGCCCACTCTGGGCTCTGTGGTGCTGAATCAACAGGTGAAGAAGGGGCCTGCTCTACGGGCTGGGGCTCCGATCCTGCCTGCCGAGCGGAAACTGCGCTGCTATTACACACGGGGGCAGGCAAGGGCCATCCGGCTTACAGGAGACCCCCGGGCGTCTTTTAGTGCTCCTATGTCCGGTGATTCAAGCCAATGGAAAACAACCCAAGTCAGGCAGGATTGCTAATAGGCCAGACCTTCAAGAATGAAGGTAAGGGTCACCCCCACTAATAAAAACAAAACAAAAAACAGTCAGCTGAGGTTCTTGCTGAGGGTAAAGGAAATAAGGAATGGGTAGAAGAAGGTGGTTATAAATAATGACTATATGACCAGTGGTAGAAATGAGGAGTTTAATAGGAGTATTTCCTCTGTATTTTAATATGAATGTTTGTATATACATTTACCAAATATTTTTGTGGCTTTCTCCCTGTCATCTTCTTATTTTCTAACATGTGTTAATCATAGTCAGTTTTACATCTCAGTGTTGAGTTATAGGGTATCAAAGGAGAAGACTGCATGTCGCCCAAGGACTTTGTGTTCTTTGGGGAAAGGGTTAGCCTGTTCAGTTGTGCACAGGACAGTTGTATCACATGAGGCAGAAGCATGACTTGGTAACTGCCCCTTTTTGGACGTTAAGAATAATTTAAGCACATGTTTATGGCTACCGAGTTGACAAGGGGTGGACTGGGATAGTTCTGTGATGTGTCAGCTTTGCTACCTTCCCCAGAATTCCCTTTCTAGAATGTTTCTTATTATGCTAGGCTTACAAGAGATACTCTCTCGAGTTGGAGGACAAACAGGGGACAGATGTCTTTGTGTAGAACCCATATACCTTCTCCCAGTTATTGAAGCACTAACCCAGGTGCTGCTGTGAAGGGATTTTGCAGGTCCAGTCAAAGACCCAAAGCAGTTGACCTTGAATTAATGAAATGAGAGGCTATCCTGGATGGACATAACTTCATCAGTCCAGGGGCTTCAAGCTTCAGCTCGTGCTCATGGGGTCCAGCCTGCTGTGATCTTCCCTTGACTGTCTGCCCTACAGACCCCAGGCTTGCATAGCCAGCCCCACAACCGTGTGAGCCACTCCTTATAATAAACAAACTCGTGAGTGTATGTATGTGCGCATGTATATATATGCCTATATATACACGTAGGTAGATAGACGGCTGAGATAGATGATAGAGATGTAGCTATAGATATAATGTCCTACTGGTTCGGCTTCTCTTGGACTCTGATAAAGTCATAATAATGTAAATGCTCTTTATTGGTTTCCAATATTGAAATTGAACTTATTGACAAAGCATAGGTGGGCAAATCAAGAAATAGAAGAATCACCTTATTTACAAAGTTATGGGGATAATCTCTGGAAGAACGCAGAATCCCGACTCTGGATGGAACTGAGGTGAGAACGGATTAAAGCCTGGAACAATAGCTTTTCATTAGGTTTCTGGTACTACTACTTTATTTGTTACATATTTTTATGTTGCTAAATAAAGAAAAGCAACCATTTGGGCAGCTTTCTTTAAAAAAACAAAAACATTCTCCTCCCCACTGGAGACAATATAAATTAACAAATAGTAGGGACTTTGTAGTTAGGTTTCCTGGATTCTTATTCTTGTGGTTGTTGTTAACTTTGACAAAGTTATTTGGCCACTCTAATCTTGTTTCCTTATCTGAAAAGTTGGGGTAGTTATCCTACACAGTATATGAATGTGTGTGTATACATATATATATGTTTGCTTTCCCTTATTTAAAGTAGCTCGCTATACACCCTGTTATCTCTGTATTTTTTAATCTAACAATACATCTTAGAGCTGTTTCCTAAGAGCCGTCACATCCCTTTTTAGTGGCTTCTTTTTTTAAAATATTTTTTTATTGATTTTTAGAGTGGGGAAGGGAGAGGGAGAGATAGAAGCATCATGAGAGACACATCAATCAGCTGCCTCTTGCACGCCCCCTACTGGGGATCGAGCCTGAAACCTGGGCATTTGCCCTGATCAGGAATCGAACCAGGACCTCTCAGTCCATGGGTCAAAGCTCAACCACTGAGCCACACGGGCTGGGCTAGTAGCTGCTTCTTATTCTACTTTGTGGATATACCATAATTTATATAACCAGCCACCTATGTTGATAACTTTAGTCGTTTTCAATATTTTTCTATCACAAATAATATTCTCATCTATATGTCATTTCACATGTGACTAAATACAGCTATAAGGTAAATTTCTGGGAATAAAATTTTTAGGTTAAAAGGAAAGTGCTTTTATTTTTTTAAATTAATTTTTTAATCCTCACCCAAGGATATGTTTATTGATGAGGACAGAGAGATCAGTTGCCTCCCAAACACACCCCGCCAGAGATCGAACACACAACCTTTTTGATGTATGGCACGACATTCCAACCAACTGAACCACATAGCTGGGCAAGGAAAAGTGCTTTTAAAATTCTGCTTGTCAGCCCTGGCTGGTTTGGCTCAGCAGTTAGAGCGTTGGTCTGGGGACCAAAGAGTCGTGGGTTCAATTTTTGACAAGAGCACATACCTTGGTTGTGGTTTGATCCCCAGCCCTGGTTTGGGTCATGTGAGAGGCAACCAATCCATGTGTCTCTCTCACATTGATGTTTCTCTCTCTCTCCCTTCCTCTCACTCTAGCTGAAGATAAATGGAAAAATATCCTCAGGTGAGGGTTAAAATAAATAAATAAAGAAAATTTTGCTCGTCAGTGCTGTTGAGAAACCAGTGTCTCTGCACCCTCGCCAAAGTATTATATTGTCATTTCATTTGCATCTCTTTATATATTTCCTTTTTCCTGACGTGTGTATTCATAGGTATTGCCCATTTTATCTGGATTGTTGATGTTTCCTTATTGTTTTGTAAGTATTTTTATGTGTTAAGGAAAGTAGAAAGTAGCCCTTTGTCTGTGAGGTGAATTACAAAAAATTTCTTCCATCTGTCCTCTGTCATTTGACATTTTTATGGTGATGTGATTTTTTTATAGTTAAATAAATGGATTTTCTCTTTTATCTTAGGTAATTTATGGTTTCACTTTTAATGCGATTTCTTTGCTCCATCTGGAAATAATTTCATTATAATCTGTGAAGTAGAGATCCAACTTTTTTTTTTTTTAAGGTGGCTACTCAGTTGTCCCAACACTATTTACTAAGTTCTTTCTCACTGTTTTGAAATAAGACATTTATTTCATTGCTGTGTATATTTGCGTCTGTTTCTGGGTTTACTAGTCTGTTCCTTTGAATTCTTGATCCATTCATGTGCCAGTGTCTCATTATTACAGAATAAGTTTTTATATTGAGTAGTTAGTACCCTTTCATTTAGTTCAGTTAATATAGTCAGTACCCTCTTTTCAGACTTTTCTTGGTACTTATTATTTTTTCTTTGTCCACATGATTTTTAGAAGCAGCTTGTCCAATTCCAAACAAAAGCCACA